AGAAAAAATTCAATTAATTTTATAAATATTAAAATTCTATATAACAATTAAATCACTTTCAAGGCAATTTATAAATATATTCGTCAAAAAAATTGAAGGAATTCAATTATTTTGAAAAAATAATAAAATTCTTGTGATGAATATTCAATTATTTTCGAAACAACTTTAATTGAATTTCTCAAAAAAATTTCATTATTTTTGCAAAGATTTTACAATTTATAAAAATAATTAATTTGTTTCAAAGGATTTATTAAAATTTTAGAAAATAATTGAATTTTTCTTTAAAATAATAATAAAATTCTTTTTAAAAATTGAATACATTTATGAAATTAATTTTATTAATATTGTATTAAAACGATTAAATATTACAATTTCAGAAAATATAAAATTTCCATAAAATTCAATTTCAACAAGAATTTAAAATTCTCTAAAAATAATTCAATTATTCTCAAAATATTTTTAAAAAATTCGATATAGAAATTAAATTATTTTCAAGGCAATTTTTAAATATATTCGTCAAAAAAATTGAAAGAATTCAATTCTTTTCAAAAAAATAATAAAATTCTTAAAAGAAATTTAATAATTTTTGAAACAACTTTAATTGAATTTCTCGAAAAAATTTCATTATTTTCAAATATTTCTATAAAATTCTTCATAACAATTTATTCATTTCTTTAAATTTTAATAAATTCTTTGAAACATTTCAATTATATTTTTATAAATAGTACAATTCTTTGCAGAAATTCAATTCTTTTCAAAACAATTTTAATAGAATTCCTCGAAAAAATTTAAATTTTCAAATATTAACAAAAAATTAATTTATTTTCTAAAATTTTAATAAATTCTTCGAAACATTTCAATTATTTTTATAAATAGTATAATTCTTTGCAGAAATCCAATTATTTTCAATACAATTTTAATAAAATTCTTCTTCATAAAATCCAATTGCTATTTTAATTAATTAAATTAATTTTTAATTTTCAATTAAAATTATTAAAAAAGCTTCATTAGTTTAAAAAAAATTCAAAGAAATTCTTCAAAAGAATTCAATTAGTTTTTTTTAAATTTTAATAAAATTCTCTGCGAAAATTTAGTTATTTTTCTAAATAATAAAATTCACTGCGAGAATTCAGTTATTTTTCTGAATAATAAAATTCTTTGAAATAATTTTTAATTATCAAATTTTTTGATAAAATTCTTTGCAACAATTCGATGATTTTCAATGCATTAATTTTAAAATTGAAAATATTTGAAAAGAAAAATTATAAAAAAGTTTAGAAAGAAAAAGTAAAGAATTAATTTATTAATATTATTATTAATTATTATTTAATTAATAATAATTTTAATAAAATTTATAATTTTTTAAAAACAGGACATAACTTTAAAAGTACTGAATAGCGATGAATGTGAGGAAGAATCGAGTGATAAAAAGAAAATGCATGAGAAAAATAGTCAATTACAGGAAACAGAGAGATTATCATCATCATCATCATCTTTAAAAGAAGACAACGAAGACACGAAAAACGATTTCAAATTAAATTCCGAGACGAATTTGAATAATTTTATTCAGGTAATTATTTGTTAAATAATTTTTTTCATTTTCATTGTATTCTAATACATTTCTATCAGATTTCTATATTGTAGATTGCTCCGGAATTTGAAAATGTACCACCGCCAATTCCACCACTGGATTCTAGTAATGAAGCCGATTTGAGCGATTTTTAACGTTGATATATGAGAAAATCGAGAAAAAAATTAATAAAAGAAGCTTTATATGTGATTTGTATAATTGAATAATAAACAAAATGTTTATATTCTTCTAAACACGAAACATAAACAATTTTTATTCTCAAAAAATAATCACGCACAAAATGTTCTTTAAGTAATTGAAAAATAAAATTAACTTAATATGAAAAATTCGAAATGCATTCGAAAGACAAAAAAAAAAAAAAGAAGGTAACTTGAACTAAAAACACCAGAGAGATAAAGAAAAAAAATAAAAAAATATTCAAAATGAAAATGAATTTTTAATTTTATTGCATGTTTATTGCTTGTTTTCCATTACGAAGAATTAATATTAACTGCGCACGTTTCTCTTTCAGCAAGCCGTTTTACTCTTCAAAGTATATAAAAGAAATCCTTTTCTCCACCACATCCTTATCACACGGTTTGAAAAAATTGACTTTTAATCATATTTTTCTACGAATAAAAGAAACAAAAGAAGAATCCAACTTCTCATTTCTTTTCCCCCACGATTCAATGAGACAAAAATTATTATCCAATTCTTTTCCTAGAAAACAATTAAAATAATTTATTAAATGTAATAATAAATTAGAATAAATAAAAATTATCAATAAATCTGTAATTGGAGTACTAATTTTTCATTCACTATGTAAATTAATGTGAGAACGTAAATTTGGAGACATCTTTATTTCTCAATATTCCGACATTGATTAATTGCGCACTCTTGTCAGTTACAAATTCCCATCGTTAAATACTTGAACCTATAAACAAAATAAATAACAATTAATCAAAATAGAGAAACTAAAAATTATATTAAGTATGTTTTCTTAGAGTAAAGAAAAATTTTTTCTTACTCGTAATTTCTTTGTCAACATTTTCTATTCTTCTAAGATTAATTTTAAATTTAAAAAAAAATTTTCAATAAAACAATGTTTCCATGAGAAGCCTACATATAGAGTTAAAAATAAGAGAAAAAAATATACCTATTTATTACTATAAACAATAATTAAACATTAAAACTAACCTCAAAATAAAATTCCAAAACAATATTTATCCTAATTAATTTTCCGAACTGGTGTCGCTCGTTCCCTTATGGTATGTGTCAAATTTATTATGACTTGACGTATGGTTGGAATTTTTAACCTAAAAAATAAAAACAATTTCAATATACCTTTAATATAAATTTGTGTGATTATCAAGATTTATATAGATAAACATAAATTTCAATAAATTTTTTTTTTAATATTGTTATTTATAATTAATAAATTAATTATTTGTTATTTACTATATGTTATTATATATATTTATAATATTAAAAGTAAAACTAAAACTAACCTCAATGCACAATTTAATTTTCTTCTTCTTCTTACTGTCATATTTTGCACCTATAATTTAAACCTGAAAAAAAAATTAATTCGCATTAAAATAATTAAACTATTTATTTACTTATTTATTCATTAAAAAACAATACTTATCTTAATTAATTATACAACACGTTTGTATATTCCATTCTGCACAGATTATCGTAAACAAAACAAAACTGCTTTACCAACAAATTCTTTATTTTGAAATTTGACACAACTATAGGTAATTTCACTTTCTGCATTATCGACTCGTGGTACGAGTTACCGAAAATATGCTTGAAATAGTTTGTACATCACCACGGCGCTAGTAGTACAAGCGCGCACTGGTGGGGACGCTCGAAGTGGTGGGGACACGGGTATATAAGCAGGCGCCCGAGACGAGACTGGCACTTCATGCTCAACTGTGTTACAGGTAAGCAATAGTACCAAAGCCTTGTTAAGGCAGACGAACTTAAGCTGTATTACAGCAAAGCCTTGTTAAGGCAGACGAACTTAAGCTGTATTACAGCAAAGCCTTATTAAGGCAAACGGACGTAAAGCTGTATTACAGCAAAGCCTTATTAAGGCAAACGGACGTAAAGCTGTATTACAGCAAAGCCTTATTAAGGCAAACGGACGTAAAGCTGTATTACAGCAAAGCCTTTTTAAGGCAGACGGACGTAAAGCTGTATTACAGCAAAGCCTTTTTAAGGCAGACGGACGTAAAGCTGTATTACAGCAAAGCCTTTTTAAGGCAGACGGGCGTAAAGCTGTATTACAGCAAAGCCTTATTAAGGCAGACGGGTGTAAAGCTGTATTACAGCAAAGCCTTTTTAAGGCAGACGGACGTAAAGCTGTATTACAGCAAAGCCTTTTTAAGGCAGACGGGCGTAAAGCTGTATTACAGCAAAGCCTTATTAAGGCAGACGGGTGTAAAGCTGTATTACAGCAAAGCCTTATTAAGGCAAACGGACGTAAAGCTGTATTACGGCAAAGCCTTATTAAGGCAAACGGACGTAAAGCTGTATTACAGCAAAGCCTTTTTAAGGCAGACGGACGTAAAGCTGTATTACAGCAAAGCCTTTTTAAGGCAGACGGACGTAAAGCTGTATTACAGCAAAGCCTTATTAAGGCAAAACGGACGTAAAGCTGTATTACAGCAAAGCCTTTTTAAGGCAGACGGACGTAAAGCTGTATTACAGCAAAGCCTTATTAAGGCAGACGGACGTAAAGCTGTATTACAGCAAAGCCTTTTTAAGGCAGACGGACGTAAAGCTGTATTACGGCAAAGCCTTATTAAGGCAAAACGGACGTTTTTTTTATTCGACAGTTTTTTAAATAATCGTTGATAAAATAAGTCCCCGAGTGCAGTCCCATGGCATCGTTATTTGCTTTGCTTTTTGTAACTTGACTATTAAAAGAATTAATTTTAGAAACTTTATAAATTATTTATTCTCTACATTATATTATGCAGACTTTTTTCAAATTTCTATCAAAACTATAATTATTTTAATGAAAATTTTGTTAAATAATTCATCTTTTTGAAAATGATTTTCTCAAATAATTGATTATTTTCTAATTTCAAGACAATATAATTGAATTTCAAAGATTTTTTTTAAACTACTAATTGAATTTCGTTTTAAAGAATTTTATTATCATTTTTGTAAATAGTTGCTTGATCTCTAATAATTTGTGAATTTAATGTAATGGAAATTCTAAAATATATATATATATATATATATATATTAACACAAGTAGTAGCTTGTAGTTGCTAAAATTTTAAAAAAATACCCAAATAGCCTAATTACAAAACCCAACGCAAAACGATGCTATTAGATTGCACCCTTATTATTTTGTCTTTTTAACAAATTTTTTTTTTACAGAAATTCATGTACCAGTATCTACTGTATTGACATAATGAAGAGAAAACAACAATTGAGTTTAAAATGTTTGTGTTTAAAAGTTGTTTTTTGAAAAAATTTTATTTACATTTAAAATTAATAATTGTAATTTATTTGTTTATTCTTTATTTTTTCAGCAACAAATGAATCTCGTGAAGGACATTCTACCAGATTTTTCTACGGTAACTTACAGACACAAAAATCTGACGAAAATTTGACATTTTCTTCATCGTCATCAACTCCAAAGACAGAAGAGGCAGAACATCGAAAAGCAGAGAAGAAAACTTTTCGCTCGAGTGGAATATTCAGATTAAAATGTAAGTTTTTTAAAATTATTTTCTTCAAGTATTTGATTTAAATTGAGGAATTTTTTAATTTTAATTCTTTTGTTTCTTTTTAATTTTCAGCACCAACTAGATCTCGCGAAGAAATGTCTACCAGTTCAATTGGAAAGACTGAAAATGTGAAAGCTGGAATTCCGGAGAAACAATCTTTTACTTCCAGTGAAAGATTGAGTTTAAAATGTTAGTGTTTAACAGATGTATTTTAAAAATATTTGTATTTACATGTAAAGTTAACAATTGTAATTTATTTGTTTATTCTCTATTTTTTCAGCAACAAATGAATCTCGTGAAGGACATTCAACCAGATTCTTCTACGGAAACTCACAGACAAAAAAATCTGACGAAAATTTGACAGTTTCTCAATCACCAACAACTTCAATGACTGAGCAGGCTGAACCTCGAAAAGCAGAAAAGAAAACTTTTCGCTCGAGTGGAATATTCAGATTAAAATGTAAGTTTTTTAAAATTATTTTCTTCAAGTATTTGATTTAAATTGAGGAATTTTTAAATTTTAATTCTTTTGTTTCTTTTTAATTTTCAGCACCAACTAGATCTCGCGAAGAAATGTCTACCAGTTCAATTGGAAAGACTGAAAATGTGAAAGCTGGAATTCCGGAGAAACAATCTTTTACTTCCAGTGAAAGATTGAGTTTAAAATGTTAGTGTTTAACAGATGTATTTTAAAAATATTTGTATTTACATGTAAAGTTAACAATTGTAATTTATTTGTTTATTCTCTATTTTTTCAGCAACAAATGAATCTCGTGAAGGACATTCAACCAGATTCTTCTACGGAAACTCACAGACAAAAAAATCTGACGAAAATTTGACAGTTTCTCAATCACCAACAACTTCAATGACTGAGCAGGCTGAACCTCGAAAAGCAGAGAAGAAAACTTTTCGCTCGAGTGGAATATTCAGATTAAAATGTAAGTTTTTTAAAATTATTTTCTTCAAGTATTTGATTTAAATTGAGGAATTTTTTAATTTTAATTCTTTTGTTTCTTTTTAATTTTCAGCACCAACTAGATCTCGCGAAGAAATGTCTACCAGTTCAATTGGAAAGACTGAAAATGTGAAAGCTGGAATTCCGGAGAAACAATCTTTTACTTCCAGTGAAAGATTGAGTTTAAAATGTTAGTGTTTAACAGATGTATTTTAAAAATATTTTTATTTATATGTAAAGTTAACAATTGTAATTTATTTGTTTATTCTCTATTTTTTCAGCAACAAATGAATCTCGTGAAGGACATTCTACCAGATTCTTCTACGGTAACTCACAGTCACAAAAATCTGACGAAAATTTGACATTTTCTTCATCGTCATCAACTCCAAAGACTGTGCAGGCTGAACCTCGAAAAGCAGAGAAGAAAACTTTTCGCTCGAGTGGAATATTCAGATTAAAATGTAAGTTTTTTAAAATTATTTTCTTCAAGTATTTGATTTAAATTGAGGAATTTTTTAATTTTAATTCTTTTGTTTCTTTTTAATTTTCAGCACCAACTAGATCTCGCGAAGAAATGTCTACCAGTTTAATTGAAAAGACTGAAAATGTGAAAGCTGGAATTCCGGAGAAACAATCTTTTACTTCCAGTGAAAGATTGAGTTTAAAATGTTAGTGTTTAACAGATGTATTTTAAAAATATTTTTATTTATATGTAAAGTTAACAATTGTAATTTATTTGTTTATTCTCTATTTTTTCAGCAACAAATGAATCTCGTGAAGGACATTCTACCAGATTCTTCTACGGTAACTCACAGTCACAAAAATCTGACGAAAATTTGACATTTTCTTCATCGTCATCAACTCCAAAGACTGTGCAGGCTGAACCTCGAAAAGCAGAGAAGAAAACTTTTCGCTCGAGTGGAATATTCAGATTAAAATGTAAGTTTTTTAAAATTATTTTCTTCAAGTATTTGATTTAAATTGAGGAATTTTTTAATTTTAATTCTTTTGTTTCTTTTTAATTTTCAGCACCAACTAGATCTCGCGAAGAAATGTCTACCAGTTTAATTGAAAAGACTGAAAAGCAAATTTTGTCTTCGAGTAAAGGACCGGAAAGAAAAATTTCATTTCATAGTCAAAGATTAAGTTTGAAATGTAAGTTTTTAATAATTAACCAAGGAAAAAATGATTCGTACGATGAATCATTTTCACCTGGGTACATTTTAAAAATATTTTATTAAAATAACAATTTAAAAATTTTAATTTATTTAATTCCTTTTTTTCTTTTTCAGCACCAAGTGATTCTCCTGAAAAGCTGTCACCGTGTTCAGTTTACCGTGTACCAACAGAAACATCATTATCATTATCGTCATCAACTGGACCTGATTTAAAAATCACTTCTTCAAAAGTAGAGAAATCGAAAAAGCAAGAAGCTAAATTTTCCCATTCAGCATCAACTTCAAAAAGAGATGGTAAAATTTTATATTCTTTTTTCTTCTTTTATATTTTCTTAATCTCTCTCAATATAAAATTAATAAAATTTTCATTTCTTCCAATTATAGGTGTTGACTCATCAATTGAAAGTGGTGCTGGCCCCTCTTCAAAACGAAAGAAATACAGTGTCGAGAAATCTACAATTGGTGTTTCTTCAAACAGAAAAAGAACGTCAATTACTTTGGATAATGAAAATATTGATAAACCGTTGCATCATAAAGTGAGAAGAAGATTGGAATTAATGGGAACAGAAAAGCATACGGTAAAAGTTTGTTTGGGAAAATTATGTAAATCAGCAAACATTAAAAATCGAATTGAAGAAGATGCAAAGGTTGTTTCATCAATGATGTATGAGGCAACAACAATGGCATTATTCGGCCTATATGAAGAAACGAATGTTGAAAATGTTGAAAATTGCCCATCATTGTTGGAGAAATGGACCAACAATGGTCCCGACTTTCTGTCATTTTTAATATCATTAAAGCAGAAAGTAAATGCTCAACGTAAAGTAACTGAACAGGATGCGAAAATAAATACAATGGTCAACGAATATAAAGAATTAAGGAATGACATTCCACTTTATGACGGAGAACATAGAACGGCAATAATTCAGGAGGCAGCTTTAGTGTTGAATCGAAACTTTAAAACAAATTTCACGACGCATGCAGCATCACGATTAAGAAGATATTTGCAGCTATTAATGGAAATTGAAGACGAAGAAAAAAATCATATGGAAGTAGATGAAATTCAAGAAATTTGTTCAGTTTACCATATCGAAAATGATAATGATGAAAAAATAAAAATTAGGAGTTTTAAAAATAGCATTAAAAATGAACAAAGAAAAGAATTTCAAAAATCTCGAAAACAATTTCCAGATGAAATGCGAGAAAAAAAAACATCAGACTACTGCGATGAAAGATATGTTCGACAGGAAAAATATCTCAAACATTGCGATAAAGTCTATTATAAAAAAAGGCCAAGAAGGCGAAGAAAAAAATCGAAAAAGGAAAAAGAAGAAGAAAAAGAGAAGAATGAGGAAAAAGAAAAAGAGAAGAATAAGGAAAAAAAGAAATTTCGAAAAAGAAGGCCTTCATTTTATAAACAATCTGTTGCTGCTTTAAATCTCCTGCTGCAAGAAAATAAATGTAAAGTGAAAGGATTCCCTACTGATTTACTACTGAAAAAGGGTGATAATGATAGAAGAAAATTGGACTTTACAAAATTGACAAAAGATGAAGAATGGCATAAATTTTTGCCATTTTTCATTATGATTCAACAAGAATTTCATGATAAAAAGAAGAAGAATTTCACGTTAATTCCACAAATTTCATTAGGCGTGAAGCATGTGGTTTATACAAATACTGCTTTAAAAGAATTGCAAACGGCAACTGTTATTCAAGAAATTAAAGAAAAAAAGGCAATTTTACAAAAAAAGAAAAGAAAATCAGGAACGAATAAGGATCATCTTCAAAGAGCAGTTGATAAGATGGACGATGAAATGAAGCGCTTAAGAGAAATGAACAATGAAGAAAGGTGGAATTCAATGTTCAACTTTAAATCAATCCAAAGAGGTCGAAAAAAATTAAAGAATGGTGGTAAATTTTCTGGTACAATAACGACAAATGGTGTGGACGTGTCAGTAATTTTTGATTTACCCACAAAACATGATGTTGTGCAATCAAAGAAGAAAGTTGGAAGTTACAAAAAATTTTGTGGTTTTGATCCTGGTGCGAGGGCGACTCTGGCTGGCGTCAGTAGGGAAAACGATCCTAATCCAACCACTAATGTAAAAAAGGATTCAGCTATTTACATTGGTAGTTGGATGATGAGATGGCAGATGGGCGACTACAGAAGAAGAGAATTAATGAAGAAAAAAGGTATAGACATGCAAAAATATTACAAGCAACTTGCTGAGGATCCATTGATGGAAAATTTTTGCATGACTAATCCTCGAGATCGCCATCGCATAACAAAATATAGAATACATCTTTTACAAAATTTCCAATCACTTCATCAAAAAAGATCCGTAACGCGTTTACGAATTGATCGATATTCAGCACAAAAGCGACAAGTTGATCAACTTGTGAATTGGATAGTAGGTGATACAAAGAAGAAACCCTGTTTCGTTGCTATTGGTGGAGCTGAAATACCTAATTTTATCAAGGGATACACTAAAGCTCCTTTGAAACGTATTCAACAAACTCTTTTTCAAAGATCAGAAGAATTAGGAAAGGATAAATTGCAAGTCGTGAAAGTAAATGAGTTTAATACAACAAAAATGTGTAGTCGCTGTGTGAGACCACTTAAAATATCCAAGAGTCCCCATCGATACACTTATTGTGCGAAATGCAAAACAACGTGGGAAAGAGACGTAAATGCAGGGCGTAATATTCTTAATCTTGCACTTGTTCAAGAGAAAATCATACCAAAGGATTCCATAAAAAATCACCATCTATTTCGGATAAAAAATGATGACATTGAACATGAGGCTGCAGAATTGCAGAAATAATTTTTCCCATCACTTTCAACATTCATTTTTAAATGTAAGTTTTTAAAATTTATAGTTAAAAAATAGTTTTTTTTATGAAAAATATTAAAAAATTTAATTAATTTGTAATTATTTTCTCTTTTTCAGCACTAAGTAAATCTCTTAAAGGACAATGAAAAGGAGGAACCTCGACAACCGGAAATACAAATTTCTACGATGGACAATATACTGCTTAATTGCGGAAATAATTTAACAAAACATTATTCGGTCCTGGTGGTGATGGCTTTTTGCCATTGTACATACCGGGGATCTCTTGAGATCCGAACCAGCCTGTAAAAAGGCATACCAGGTTTTTTAAGAAATTAAAAAACATGCTACTTCTTTTATTGATTATTGTTTGAATTTTTCAAATTTTTTATAAAAACAAAAGCACATTTGTGTTTTTTTTTATAAATTAAAATAATCAATAATAGGAGGGGAGGTAATTTTGTAAAAGACATTTATTTCTTTAAATTTAAATCATTTTTCTCTTTTTTACTTATAATTTAGTTTCAGTTTAACGGTGTAATTTTTAAAATTTTAATTTTTTCAAAACATTTTAACTTGATTCAACATTTCACTTTAATTTTAAACTTTTTTTTTAACAATTTCAATTTCTCCTTTTACAAAATTACCTTCTAATCAGAAGTACCCTTACCAAATCAACTTAGCTTGCACTACAAAAATGATCTTATTGGCGAAATGAACCGCGCATTTTTAAAACGTTTTATATTTAAACATATAAAGTACTTTAGATGGACAAGTTTTATTCTACAAATAGAAGCATTTTTGTCGCGCAAGCGCAGTTGCGTTTGGTGAGGGTACCTGGCAGCACTGGTATTGTCACAAATCTTCACAATATTGTTAATTCGTGGTCAAGTTTTAATGTGTATTTACGAAAAATAGTAAACAAATAAATTTATCACAGTATTAATAATAGAAAAAGTACTTTAAAATAACTAGTAAATTTCTATACAGTTGAAAATGTTGACGAAAACTTTCAGTATTTTTATTCTATTAATTTTTCTAATAGAACAAGGTAATTAATTTTGACATTTTATAACATTTCTTTTGATTCATAACCACAAACATTTCCAGGGCGTGGCTTTTGTGTTTAATTTTATTTAATATTAATTTACTGATAACATTTAAATTTTAAATTAATTAAATTTTAATTAATTCGCGTATTTTTTCTGATAATTTCAAGAAAAATAGTTTTTAAATATTTCAAATACACTTGATTTTTTAATTGGGAAAATTTTTTTCCCTTTGGAAACGTGTATTTACATAATTTGATGTGCATTTTAAAAACAAAAATATTTACCAGAAATTATTTATTTCATTGAAATTTATTTAATTTTAATATTTTTACTTATTTTTATTATTTTTCTCAATGTTTTTTTGAATTCTTTTATTTTTCTTGTTTCCTTAATTTTTTCTTATTTCATTTTTTAATTTTTCTTCTATTCTTAATTTTTTCGTTTTTTAATTTTTCATTGTATTTATTAAATTTGCGGTTTATTGTTATTATTCTTTATTTTATTCTATCCAATGTCAAAATTTATTTTTAATCCAAAATTTAATTTTATTATTTTCTTAATTAATAAGAAAAAAAATCCAATGTTTTTTTACGGGGATTTTTTATTATTATTCCAAATAAAAATTTAATTGTATTTATTTTAATTTTAATGAAAATTCTGAAATTTTAGTTCTCTTTTTTTTGGTTTGGAATTTGTTAGTAAAATGAAAAAATAATTTTAAAAAATATATATATTCATTTATTTTAATAATAAATTTCGTCTATTTATTGCAGGAAATTGTGGACTTTATTGCTACAGATGTCACAGTAATAGTGGAGGTTGTGGAGAAGATTTAAAATGGTTCCATTGGGCAAAAGAGTGTCCAGAACCTGATGATAAATGTGTTAAAATTATAGAAAGAAAAGAAGGTAATTTGTTTTCTTTTATTTCCTTAATTTTTCCCCCAATGATCCTAATGATAATGAAATCATTATTTAAAAAAAACTATTCGATAAATTTACAAAAGAAAAGAATTTTTTAGGAATAAATTTAATAAATAATTTACAAAAGAAAATACAAAATATTACAATGAATAGAAAAAAATATAATAAATAATTTACAAAAAAAAATACAAAATAGTACAATGAATAGAGAAAAATTTAATAAATAATTATAAAAATAACAGCAAAAAAGTTAATAAAAATAAATGTGAAAAAAGTATAAAAAAATATATTTTTTATATTAAAATGAACAAAGAATTTTTTAATTAGTAAATTTTTTGAATATTTCCTAAAAAAATATATGAATTTCTATTAATTTAATTTTATTATTCTATTAATTAATATTTTTTATAAAAGAATAAATTTTTGGATTTATTATTTAATAATTTAGAGGATTAATTAATATTAATTTTCTTCCAGCCGAAGTGGCAATAACTCGCGATTGTTTGAGTTCATTCCGTGGAATAAGAACTGATATTCCCGCCGATCATTACGAGGGTTGTCGTCCAGCAGCAAAGGACATGAAACTTGCCCACTATGTTAATAACAGTATTGCCGAGCAAGATGTAAAAAGAGATTATTACGACGAAGTTAATTGGTGTATTTGTTATTTCGATAATCGATGCAATGGTGCGTCGAATTTTATTCTCTCCACTGCACTTTTAATTTTAACACCAATTTTTTACTACTTCACCACGTGAAATAAAATTACCGAGCAAGTGAAATAAATTTTCACAATGTGAAATAATTTCCAGAAAGGAAAATAAATTCCACAAAGGAAAATAATCTTCACAAAACGTGAAAAATAGTCTTCAGAACAAAATGAAAAAAGAAAAACAAAACAAAAAGGATTGCCCTCCAAAAAAGTAATTAATTCAATTTCTATTTTACATTTATACGATGTAAATAATTGTACAGAGAGAAATTTTCCATTTTTTAAAAACTAATTCTGTTTTTTATATAATTTTAAACTTTTGTTATTAACTGACTTTTACAATTTGATTAATTTCAAAAAATTTTAATTTTGTTGAGTTCTTTCATTTTTAAAAGTAGTGAAATCAATTTTTCCACTATTTTATTTTTTGATTATTATTTTTTCAGTTTAGTAATTAAACTTAAATTATTTAAAATTAAATACAACTTAAAAAAAGTTAAAAAAAAAAGATAAAATGAAATTTCAAACAAAAATACAATTAAATTGTATTTTTGTTCGAAATTTCATTTTATATTTTTTTTTACTTTTTTCCTTTATTTTTATAAACGTCATTCCTTTTGTTAATCTTTATAATTTTATTGTTAAATTCAATTAATTTTTACATTTGCTTAATTTTATCGTTAACTGAATTAATTTTTTAAATCACTGGATTTTGCAGTTAATTTAAATTATAATTTGTTTGATTAATTGAACTAATTTTTCAGTTATGTCAATTAGTTATTTCACAGTTAATTGAACCAATTTTACAGTTGTGTGAATAATTTTTTTTCACTTGTTTTATTGAATTTTAAAATTGATATGAATTTAATAATTTAATTGAATTATGATTTTTTTTAATTTAATGAATTCTCTTGTAGTTCATTTTTAATATTTTTTTATACATTGTTAAGAATTTAAGATCGTAATCCGTCCAATCAAAGAACAAATAATAATTTATTTACAATTTTTATAATATCATATTTGTAACGTATTTTTCTAATATCCGTCCAATTTAAAATATTAGATAAAAAAAAAATACTTCATGTTAGTTTTTATAACACTTTAATAATATGTATATGTAGAAAAAAAGAAATCTAAAACATTCCGTCCGAATTTATATTGCGTAAAATATAAATGAATGTTCCGTTAATATTCAAATAGAATAAAAATTAGAATAAATATTAATTAAAAATTAGTATTTCGCAACAAAAGACAAACGAAGAAATTATGTAATGTTAATTATCATAATTACGCACGTTTACTAATTTTATAATAAATAAAACAAAAACTAAAAAGAAAATAAATTTTTCTAGCATTTTTAAAAAGCGAAGAAATTATGTAATGAATTTTAATTATTATAAGTACAATAATTTTATAATAAATAGAAACAAAAAAATCTAAAGAAGATAAAAATTGTTTTCCAACATTTCAAAAAACCAGAATTTAAAAAAAATAAGATTTTTGTTTGAGATTTAAAAAAAGAACAAGATTCTTTTAATAGTTCTTTTATTGTCACACGATTAAGATAAACTCGAAGTTGCGTCTTTTTAAAAAAGTCGCTAATTACAAATTTTTTTTTATACAAATTTATCTTGATCGATTAAATCGAGAATGATTGTAGCATAAAAGACAATAACAAAAAGAAGAAGAAGAAAGAATAAGAGTTAAAACAAATAAATTCGACAATACAATTACAAAAGAAAAAATAAAAAGTATTTTTCAAATCTTTCTCGCTTATACAAATTTTTCAAATTACATTTTTTTTTTAGAAAAATGTGTATTGTGAAAATTTTCAAGTGTCTTTTATTTTTTTTTTCATTTTTTGTTTGTTGAGAAATTCTACTTTTCTTTCATTCATTTTCAAAAAGTATTTTCAAAATACATGGTTATCGAAAGCAAAAATTGTTTCTTCAACACACTTTTTTTCGATTCTATTATTTTTCAGTCACATTTAATGTTTCTTGATTTATTTTTTTTTTCTTAAATATCTCATTCACATTGTACAATCTACATTTAAAATTTCACTTGGCATACGATTACATTTTCTCTTCCATTCTCTCTTTCTTTTTTCTTTCTTTCCTCTTTCTTTTTTCATTTCTTTTTCTTCCTTTCTTTCCTGTTTTTTTCTTTTTCTCTTTCTTTCCCTTTTCTTTCTCTCTTTCTTTCTTTCCTTCTTTCTCTCTTTTTTTTCTTTCTCTCTCTCATCACAGTCATTCAGCTCGTGTCTCTTTGGGGTCTCGGTTTAAACTCCACTTGCTCAGTCTCGTCTTTCTTTAAAAAAAAAAAAAAAAACAAAACAATAAAAATCTTACAAACGCATTCGTCATTGAAAAAAACAAAAAAAATTGCGCCAAAAGAAATAATTAAAAAAACAACAAAAATACATTTACATATATATCTTTTTTCCCTTGGAAGAAACGCGACAAAAAAAAATATCGCGTGTCTCTTTATATAAAATAAAAAAATCTGAACTGATTTGTATTTTTTTTGTACACTGTTTTTTAAAAGCTTATTTTTAAATCCCGTTAAAAGAAAATTTCACTATTTAAGAAATCATCTCTCAAAATTGATCACTGATTCAATAAACGACCCATTTTTTTTTCTTAGGGAGTCACCAATTATTTTTTTTTTTCCTAAAAAGTTCATTTTTTTTTTCGTTTTTTTGCTTTTTTTCTTGTTAAAATAAATAAGGGGAGGAAATGAAAGATTGGATTGCGGATTTTCTTCTTTTTCCCTCGCTTTAGAATAAAAAAAAAAAAAAAAATTGACTGAGATTTTCACATTTCACAGCATTCCGAAACCTTTTGAGTAATTTATCGCTTTTAATAGTCTGTCTTGTAATTTTTCTATGGTGCCATAGTCTGGTAATAATAGAACGTTGAAACATGTATGCGCTATCGGTAACCTGAAAAATTAATTATTTTTATTATTATTACTATGATTTTTCAATTAATTTTCATTAAATCATCAATTAATGTTCATAAAAACTAGTTTTTTTTGCTGCTTTTAAAGTTTTTCAATTTTTTAAAAGTTCTTTTAATAAAATCTTTATGTTTAAACAGTTTTAGAAATTAAAATTTAAAAAATTAAATAAATAGGTACATTTTATAAATGAAAAATTAAATTTCAACAATTCAAATTATTCCTTTTTTTTAATTTTGAAATTGAAAGAATTGAAATTGTTACGATAATTAAAATTTTTAACAATTAAAATTGTTATCAGAAAAGCTTAAAATATTGAACAAATTTTTAAGTAAAATCTTTACTAAAAATTATATTTTTATAGTTAAAATATTGTTATTTAGAAATGAAGGAATGCCAAGAATAAAAATAATAGTTAAGAAAAAATTTTGGAAAGAAATAAAGTGTCACCTATCGGAATCAGGCCCGTGGCGAGCGATCACCATTTTTAATCTCGACAAACCACCAACAGGTACTCGATCGCTTCCGGTTGTGAATTGCAAAAGCCTCCGTTGACTCTCTGGTGGTAATGAATGCGCCACTCGCCAAAAGTTTCGCACCGCTTCACTTTCGGCCGTATATCCACCCTCGTATTCCGTTGCCGCCTCGAGTTCAGCGAAGTCGAAGATTTTACTTCCGCAAACGAGCTGAAGATGAAAGAAACAATCAAATTTTCATTTTAAATCAAAAATTCCATTCCATAATAAAAATAAAAAATGAATTCTTGCGAACGATTTTATTGGAATTTTTTAAAATAATTGAATTTTCATTGAAGAAATTTATTATTTTTAAAAATAATTGAATTCTTGTGATGAATATTGTTATTTATGAAAATAATTGAATAGTTGCTAAGAATTTTATTAAAAATTTCAAAAATAATTGAATTTCTCAGAAGAATTTTTATTAATTAATATTATTTGAGATTTCTACAGAAGTTGTTCAAATAATTCTTAATTTTTTTTGTAAATTTAGAGAAAAACTGTTAGAAAAATTATATTTTTTAAAAAATGAAGAACCCTGAATTTTTATTTAAAGGAAATTGCTAGCTTAATTAATTAAATATTCGCTATTAATTCCTTTATATTATCACAGAAGTAAATAGATATAAATAATTGAATTAATTCTTCAGACTTGGAAAAAATAGACTCACCTGCTCAATTTCTTCAGGCCTAAAAAGCAAACCAAGTGGACTTTCATCAGTGACCATTTGAAAACCACGTCGGAACGCCTTAAATTGCCTCTCTACTGATTTATTTAGCAGAAAATCCGCATAAAGATCGACGAATTCTTTTTTATTTTCCTGAGAAACATAAATTTCGTCTCCCTTGTCCTTTAGCTCGTGGAAAAGAACTGAGCCGAAAACATCTCTGAAAGAGTAAATTAAATTTAAAAAAAATATAAAACATAAACAAAAAATAAAAAACAGAGTATAAAATTTTCTAAAAACAGAATTTAGAAATATAAAAGAGTACAAAATTTGGAATTATTTCTAAAAACAGAATTTAGAAATATAAAAGAGTATAAAATTTAGAGTTATTTCTAGAGACAGAAAAAAGAATAAATATTTAATATATTTATAAATTACAAAAAACTGTGAAAAATAAAATACAATTTAAACTCACTTGTAGCCAACTCTGAAGGTTTGCATAAATGTCTCGGACATATCGTCTCCAATATAATTTACAATTTCTGAAAGACTTCTAAATAATGTTGGACTCCAGTCTTCTAAATCGGCGTAGCATCCCTTCTTCCCCAGCAATTTACGATAAACCACCATTGGAAAACGTACATCGAGTATGACATTATTGTAAATCGCCAAACCGAGCACAACTCCAATGAGCGTGAATTGGGCATCGCTTTCGAATGACGTCGAATTAAACCACGTCGTCTGTGTGTCTTCCTGAAAATTCAAGAAGGAATAAAAAATAAAATCTCATTATATCTTTCGAAATATTTTTAATTAATTTCAAAAATATGTTAATTAAATTAATTGAAATCTAAAAATAATAATCGAAATCTATTATTACAAGGTTTCAATTAAATTTAATTGAAACTTTTTTTTTAATCAAAATTAATAGAAATCTACTTATTGATTAAATTAATTGAAATCTATTTATTAGTTATAAAAAAATTGAAACCAATCTATAATTTATATAAAGTAGCAAATTTAACGCACGCGACGCGCGGTGTTCATTTCATTAAAAAAAGTATTTAATTATTTTGTAATAAAGAAGGACTAAATATGATTTTTTAGATAATTATGTTGGTTAATTAAACTAATCAAAATATGTTAAATTAAATTGACTCGGAGTGATCGTTCATTTGAGCAAATTTCTTATTTAAATTTTGATATAATTTACCTGCGTCGTAAACATTCCGTAGTCGGGATTAAAAATTTCCTCGACAACGAGCTGAAAAAATTCTTTCGAAACACCACCTTCATCGACTCCCTGTTCACCCTCGAATTCCACAACGAGTTGCTTCTTAAGATCAGACGGATTTTCCATGGCGACAATTTCCAATTCCACTAGAGCGTCATCAATTAAATGATCCCGTCGCACCTACAAGAAAAAAGAAGCGTAAATTAAAATTCCATACTATTCGTAAAAATAAATTAAATCAAATATTAAAACTTATTTAGTTTTCTTTTTAATAATTGATTTAATTTAAATTCATTTCATTTTGAGTAATTAAATTAATCCAAATTCATTAAATCATTATATAATTATAAAGATATTCTGTTTTTTGACATTTAATTATGTACCTTTAGTCTAAGATATGGATGTGTGGGTTGACCGACGACAGTTTGAAGAAAACTCATTCGTCGTTCACTGTACATTCTTATTCGATTATCGTAATAGAGGCCAAGTGTTTTTGTCGCTGGCGTTAAAATAAAAGCATAATTCATAAAGCTGAATTTCATTGGTTGATCGCTTTTATAATAGGCAAAATCCTTATCCATTTCCACTGCGTCACTTAAAGGTTCGTTGTAAAAATCTGTGAATGGAATGAATGCCTTGCGTGCATCAAGTGCTGAAATTCCAAGAGCTTTCGCAAGGGGATCCTGTAGAAAAAAAGCGATAACAATTATTAACAATAACAAACAAAATAATTACGTTAAAAAAAAATTACTAAAAATACGAAAATAATACAAAAACTTCTAAAATAATAATAATATAAAAAGTAGAGAAAATATTAAAAATAGTAAAAATAACAAAAACACTACGAAAAAGACTAAAAATAATAATAGAAAAAGTACTAAAAATACAAAAATAATAATAGAAATTCTACTAAAATAATAAAATACTTTAAAATTCTTTAAAATTATGGAAAAAAGTTGCAGTATAAAATAGAATTAAAAATTAGAAAAGACCTGAATTGCTTGTGAAGTCGTTGATTTTGGTCCGGATTTATCCGAACTCATAACTTCGCCGTCTTCTTCTTGGGAAAATTCAGGCGGATCCATTTCACCGGCCAAAATATTCGCATAGTAGAGTATTTTCATGACTTTCGTTGGTGCCGTTATAGTGTCAGCGTCTTGAACGCAATAATCACGTGTAAAAGAACCGCCAATAACCTGTTCAAAAAAAAATATCGAATCACAATAATTAAAATTTTTCTCCAAAAAATTAAGAAATCGAAATAAAAAAATGTGTACCTTGACAGTTATAAGTTGTTGAAGTGCTTGAAGAAGACATTCGAGTCTCGATTTACAATGTCGAGCCCAAATTCGTGCTAATTTTGCCTGTGCGGGTAATGGTAAACAACTTGCGGCCTTGCACAACATATGCAAAGCCAATTCCAAATAATCGCTCGTCCCCAATACGGGGATTTCAAAAACAATTAGAAAAACATTTAACAAACTATCGGTACTGTCATAAGGCATTATTCCAAATACCCTGAGTCCTAATTCTATATTATCGGCCAGTGTGACTAGTGCATGTACTAAAGCTGATTCGAAAGCATCACCTGCAAAATAAAGCAGAAAACAACATTTATTTTTTTAATTATTCTTCTCGTCGAAAGTCCATAATTATTAAATTCAATTTTTCAATTGAAGAATCCTTCGATTGAATTCAGTAATTTAATCATTTTTGTTATCTATTATTAATTAATATTAATATTAATTAATTTATTTAACGATGTGAATTAACTAATATTTAGACTTATAAACATTGTTTTAAATAATTAATTTTTTCGTTGAAATATAATAAATATTTTGATTATTTAATTTTAAATAATAGAATTCTTTTGGAAAACTTTATTTGTGAAAATAATTAAATGTTGGCGTATAATTTTATTAAAATTTTGTTTAAATAATTGAATTCTTTTGGAAAATTTTATTAAAATACTAGATATTGAAAAACATTGAATTGAGGAAAATTTTTGAAAATAATTGTATTTTTTACATAGAATAATAAAAAATAAATAGCAAATAAAACAGAAAGGGAAAAAGAAAAAAAAAATAGCAAATAAAGCAGAAAGGGAAAAAATAAAATAAATAACAAATAAAACAGAAAGGGAAAAAGTAAATATATAAAGCAAATAGAAAGGAAAAAAGAAAAAAAATAGCAAATAAAACAGAAAGGAAAAAAAAGAAAAAAATACCAAATAAAACAGAAAGAAAAAAAAAGAAAAAAATACCAAATAAAACAGAAAGGAAAAAAGAAAAAATTGAAAAGAAGGAAAAAATAAAATAAAGAAGAAAATAAATTTCGAAATAGAAAGCAAATAAATTTACCCGGTAAGGACCATAATGCAGTGAATGCTCTCCGAACACCGGGAAGATCAACACTGGTATCGTCAGGATGAAGAACAGCCGGCGATGGATCACTGCTGTCCTCCTCCTTATCTTCGCCTTGAAGCGATCGCACAGCTTCCTTATTTAAATCACTGGGTGGCCTTAACAATGATACTGGCGCCCTGTCAAGTAGAGCTGCCAATGGCGAGTCATTTTTCTCAGCCCTCTGAAAACTCCTGCTAAGAGCTTCGGCCGACGAGAAAACCTCGCCCAATGTTCGTATCAACAACGAATACGAACCCTCCGTTCGACATTTCTCAATAATCTCCAACAGTTTCCCCTCAGTCAAAAACGGTTCCTCTTTTCCTGTTTTTGAAAACGCTTCTTTTAAAAGACAAACAAAAAAAATTATTCATTTAATATCTAAAATAATTTTCATTTATTTCTTTCTTTATTACTATAATATTTATTTTAATTCTTAATTCTTCTCTCTTCTATTCTTAAATTTAAATTGTAATTAATTAATTAAATTCTTTATTTCTTTTTTAATTTTATTTTAATTTCGTCTATTTATTTTTCTCAAATTTCGTTTTTCAAAAAGATATTTTTGTTATAGAAACAATTTTATAATTTTTGTTCAACTTTTATAATTTTTATTCTGAAATAATTTAATTCTTCCTCAGAATTGTGTTTAAATTTTTTAAAATAATTAAATTCCTGTTAGTATTTTATTAGTTTATCAAAATGTTTCAATTCGTTCAAAACAATTGATTTCATTCCAAGAATTTTATCTAAATTTTTGTAAATAATTAAATTCTTTCGAAGAATTTCAACAACATTTTTGAAAATAATTGAAAATGCGAATAATTTAATTAATCTTTTCAAAAATAATTGAATTCTTGCAAGTATTTTATATTTTATCAAAATAATTCAATTCGTTAAACAAATTTTATTACAAATAATTTAATTCATTCCAAGAATTCAATTCAATTCTAATTCTTGCAAGTATTTTATAGTTTATCAAAATAATTGAATTTGTTCAACAAATTTTATTACAAATAATTGAATTCATTCTAAGAATTTTATCAAAATTTAAAAAAAAATTGAATTCTTTCAAAAAAATTCTGTATTTAAAATAATTTAATTCCTTCCAAGAATTCTATCAAAATTTTTAGGAAATAATTAAAAAAAATTCTCTTAATCTCATTAAAACGGTTTTAAATAATTGAATTTCTTAAAAAAAAATAATTAATTAATTAAATTCCTTTGAAGAATTTTATGAACATTTTTCAAATTAATTGAAAATTTTATCAAAATTTTTAAAAATAATGGAATTTCTTCAAAAAATTCTATTAAAATTCTATTTAAAAATATTTGAATTCCTTCTGAGAATTTTATCAAAATATTTGAAAATAATTGAATTCATTCCATGAATTTTATTAAAATTTTCAAAAATAATTGAATTCTTTCAAAAAAATTATATTAAAATTCTATTTAAAAATAATTGAATTCCTTCGACGAATTTTATCAAATTTTTTTTAAATATTTGAATTTTTTCGAAGAATATTATATCGAAATATTTGAAAATAATTGAAATTTCAAATAATTTTATTAAAATTTTTAAAAGTTAATTGAATTCGTTAAAAAAATTCTATTAAAAATAATTGAATTCATGCAAATTATTTTATTAATTATGAAAATAATTGATTTCTTACGAAGAATTTAATTAAAATTTTTGTAAATTTGATTGAATTCTCGACAAAAATTTTTTACTGTTGAAAAATTATGATTAAAAAAAATACGTTTAAAACTGCTGGAAACATATTGAAAACTATTTATTATTTCTTTCATAAAAATAATTAAAAATATTTTCAAAGTACTTACAATTAAATTTTTACCAATCAACATTAATACAATTTTTGAAAAAAAAGAAGAGATTTAATGATAAATATAAAATTTGTTTAAAAAGTAAATACAAAATTCAAAGGATAGTGGAAAATATTTATTTTTGGATAAAAGGATTACATTGCGACAGGAATTTTGGTGACAAAATTTATATTAAAATCCGCGAATAATGAGACGAACTGTTTTCGAAAAAAAATTCTATTCCTTTGAAATAAATTCTACGTTTAATAAATAAATCCTGTTTTTAAAATAAATTCTTTGGTTGTAAAATAACTTTTATGTTAATAAAATAAAATCTTCTTTACTAAATAAATTCTTTTTTATCAAATTAATTCTTTTTTTTTTTGAATTTTTTTTTTATTAGTTTCCTTAATTATCAAATTAGAATTTATTTTCTCGAATCAATATATTTGAAATAGAAAGCAAGTGCAAATAATTTACCAACAGAACGTTGTAAATTAAATCTAACACGTTTTTTATTTTTTTTTCCACGATAATTTCTATTATTTTTATTAATTTGCTTTTTTAAAATTTTCTTTTTTGGTGTTTTTTCTTTTTTCACAATTCTATTCGATTTAATCGTTTGCCTTCTCTTGGAATTATTTTTAATTTTACTTGACTCGCGAATATTCGTTAAATTATTTCTCTTCATTGGCAATAATTTACGTGATCGTTTTGCCGATGAAATTTCAATATTTCTATCATGATCTTCACTAAAATTTGTTTTCGAATTTTTCACTTCCCTCGAACGCGAACGTTTCTTTCCTTTTGAATTAGTAGAAAAATTTACGTCATTATTACGCGACTGTTTCTTTTCCCTTGAATCGATAGGAGAAAAATTTTCTTTTGGTTGTTTTAGATCATTTTTATCTTGATTTGAATTTAATTTTCTTTTTGGTAAATTTTCCGTTAATTCTAAATCGTTTGGTGTAATTTTCAAATTTCCCGTTAATTCTAAATCTTTTTGTCTAATTTTCGAATTTTCCGTGAATTCTAAATCATTTTCGACAATTTTCGAATTTGCCGTCAATTCTAATTGTTTTGTAAATTGTAAATTTGAATTCTTCCATGTAATTAGTGAATTTTCGGATAATTGGGAATTTTTTGTTGAAATTGACTCTTGATCGTGAGATGAAAATTTTGTTTCCTTTGGAGAAATTGAATTTTTATTGCAATTACGATGAAGGAGAAGTTCGGGAAAATCCATTTTTAATGGAAGATTAGCGTCGACGAGTTTAACGCTAATTTTCACTTGGCCCGAGTTCGAATCATTGTCATTAACGAATAATGATGATGATGATGATTGAAAAGGATGGAAATTTTCTGTGGGATTCTTGAATGGATTTAAATAAATGTTTTGAATTTGTTTCGGCAGGTTTTCGTTTGAATTTTTTTTACCTTCAACGGAACATGTGGGATTGACGTTTTTCACTGGGAGACTTTTTGCCAATGACGCTGGACCTGGTTCTAATGTTGTCCTCGCCACTTTACTCGGTTGTGTGCCATCGCAAAGTCTCGCCTCCTGTGAAAACAATTGAATTGCCTGCGCCGCCGCTTGATTTGGCGTGAGATTTGTCACCTGTTAAAAGTAATCAAACTTTTTTAGTCGTTCAGCATTTATTTTCTTTATTTATTTATTTTGAAAAATAAATAAATTAATAATAAATTTATTTGAATTTAAAATTTACAGGGTAATCGTTTTTTTTATAAAAAAATACCCGGTCAATTCGCAGTCATGAATTATTTTTCCCGGTCATAAGATTTCAATTTAACTATTTCCTAGAAATTTTAACTGAAATTCTTCTATAATTCGATTACTTTCAATATTTTTTGAGAAAGTTCCTTAAAAATTCAATTATTTCAAGAAAAGTTCACCTAAAACTAAAAAAAATTCTGAAAACTACTAGTATAAAATACAATTTTTTCGAAATTTCGAATAATTTGAATATTTTTCAATTAAATATATATTTAAAAATGTAACTGATTTAAAAAAAAAATGTGAATAAAAAAGTTTCAAAAAATTAACTTATTCAGAATTTAATTAAAATTGTATTGAAAATTATATTGATAATAATTGATTTCCTATAAAGAATTTTATTATGTATATGAATTATATTAAATTTTTCCAAATTTTTTCAACTAATTTAATTAAAATTGTATTGAAAATAATAATTAAATCTCATGGGAAGTATTTTATTAACTTTTTTGAAAATAATTGTATTCTTGCAAGTATTTTATAGTTTTATTCATTTCAAGAATTTTATCAAACTTTTTGGAAATAATTAAGTTCTTTCAATAAATTATATTATAAATAATTGAATTTCTACGAAGAATTTTATCAACATTTTGAAAAATAATTCAAAATTCGAATAATTCTTTTAACATTTTCAAAAATAATTGAATTCTTTCAATAAATTTTATTACAAATAATTGCATTCCTACGAAGAGTTTTAGCAATATTTTGAAAAATAATTCAAAATTCGATTAATTTTATTAAAATTTTCAAAAATAATTCAAAATTCGAATAATTTTATTAAGAATTATTAAATTTTTTGAAAATAATTGAATTCTTGCAAGTACTTTATAGTTTATCAAAATCATAAAAATTCGTTCAAAAATTTTTATTAAAAATAATTGAATTCATTCAAAGAATTTGTTCAAAATTTTTGAAAATAATTGAATTTCTTCAAAAAATTGTATTAAAATTCTATTTAAAAATAATTAAATTCCTTGAAAGAATTTTATTGAAATATTTTAAAATAATTGAAAAATAATTGAATTCCTTTGAAGAATTTCATCAAAATATTTGAAAATAATTGAATTTCTTCAAAACAAAAAAATTATTTAAATAATTAAATTCCTTTGTAGAATTTTATGAAAACTTTTGAAAATAATTGAAAATTCGAATGATTTTATTAAAATTTTTAAAAATAATTGAATTCTTGCAAGTATTTTACAGTTTATCGAAATAATTAAATTTGTCGAAATAATTATACAATTAAAAATAAAATTTCATTCATTCCAAGAATTGTTTTAAAGAATTTTATTAAAATTGAATTTTTTAAAATTTTGTACCTCAAATTATTCAAAAAATGGAGAATAATTTTTGAAAATAATAAATTTTGTAATTTATATAATTATAAATAAATTAAATAGCCATTTTGCCTAGTTATTTATAAAAATTAAAAGGTCATCTTTTATGAATTTCAATTATTTTTTTAATTTTTAAATAAAACTAATCGCTAAATTATTTAAAATAAATTCAATTTCAAATCTGTAAAGTTCAATTATTGTTAGAAATAGAAAGAATTTAATATTAAATTGAATATTTTCTATTTTTTTTTAAAAGGCTGTGGTGTTGGACAACAAAATTCAGAATTTTCTTATGAATTCTACAAAATTTGAAAAAAGAATTTAAAAAAATCAATAGATTTCTAAATATGTCCGAATATGAATAATTATAGAAAAGTTAAGTGATAGAAATGAATTATTTTAGGAAAGAATTAATAGAAAATTAAATTAAAAAACGAATAAAAAAATTAATAATCAAAAAACTAAGTTTACATTTTCTGCTGTTTTCTGTCTTTAAGAAATATTTAAAATTGTTTATAAAATGAAAATATAAAATTAATCCAAATAATAATTTTTATCCAACAAAAAATAATGAAAAATTAAAAGAATCATTGAAAAAACATAAAAATTGTAAATTACTGTTATAAATTAAATAAATTATAAATTAAATGAATTATAAAAATAATAAATTAAAATAAAAACTATAAATTAAAAGCAAAAATTAATAATTAAAATAAAAATTGTAATTTAAAATTAAAATAAATTAAAATAAAAAAAAACATTACAATCTTAAAAAAAAGATATTTTCTATCTAAAAAAGAAGAAAAATATTAAATGATATCGAAAATATAAATTCTCCTTTGTTCGAATGTAAATTATTTTTGAATTAGTTCGACAGTTTTTTTATATTTTCACAAAAAAATTATTTTTCCTGTAAAAATTTTCCTTCGTTCATGTAAATTATTTTTAAGTTTTTAATTAATTTTAATTATTTTTGAAGTTTTCAACAGAATTTTTTGATATTTTCGACAAATTTTTTTTTCCTGTAAAACTTTTCCTTTGTTCATGTAAATTATTTTTTGATTTAATCCAACAGATTTTTTGATATTTTCAGATTAAAAAAAAAAGACAAATTTTGTTTTTTGTACCTTTCCACTTGAAACACAATTTTCATTGTCACACTGGGGATTTCCACAACCGTCAGTAAGTTGATAAAAGTATCTCTCAATGAGTTTTTTGGCAGCTGCTCGCTTCATATTGCTGCAAGGGCTTTCAGCTCCCACCCTAAAAGAAATTGAAAATTCATTATTATTATTATTAATTTATTAAAAACTAATTAGAGACTAAAAAATTAAAATTTTTTTGAAATTTTCAATCTGAACTAAATTGCTATCATTTTGTCCAACTTCCAAGAAATTTTTTTGCTAATTTTCTACGGAATGAAATAAAAAAATTGCCAGAAAAATTTCAACGTTAATTAATTTATATTCAAACAAAGATTAATTTAAATAACCTAAATAATTAATCTTAATTTTCTATTTTACAAAAAAATAAATGTTAATTCGTCCGTATAAAAAAAATTCTTTCGAATGACTTGGCATATTTTTCCAAAAGTTTATTCGTTTATAAATTTGCAAACTAATAGGGAAGTAAATTACAAAGTAATAAATAATAAAGAAAGCAAAAAAGTACAAATGAAGAAATAAATATTGTAAAAATTTTCAAACCCAGAAAAAATTGTTCTTCTCGAATTAAACATAGTTCATCGCGTGTAAAAAAAGACGTAGTAATAATGGAAATCAACCGAAGTAAACAAACACAATTTGACAGAGTGACGAAAAACGTTTTTCATTCCTTTCCAAAATTGCGCTATTCAATTTTTCTTATAAAAATAAAATGAATGAAAATTAATTTAATTACCTGGATGCGAGATCTTCTCCAGGGTCCTCTTGGCCCTTAGTGTTCATAGAATGTAAATCGTTTTATCCAATATCACACTTTCGTTATTTCTTTTTTTCCTCGTTTTTTTCTAAAGACAATTCTGACGATGAACTTTGTATTTTTCTTTTTTTCTCCCCTGAAAAAAAACCACAAATCTTTTGTCTTTTCACCCGCGGAAAAAATCGTTCTTGTCAATGATGACGGCAAACGAAAAACCGAAAAATTTCCTTTTAACACTTCTTTATTATTATTTTCTTCTCTCTCTCTCTCTCTATCTATATATATTACTTTCAATTTTAATTGTTACAAAAAATCGTCGCAAAAAGATGAATACACTCGTTTTGGTAATATTTTTTTGTACAAGGAATAAAAGTAGAAAAATGTTGTGTTATTGTATTTTTATTGGTTAAAATATGAAAATATATATTGTTTTTTCCTTGCGGGTTAAAACGTAAATTTCCGCTTTTCGTGGAAGGTCAACCAACACTCGCGAGGGGGGAACGAATTGATTTTGATTAAAATGACTTGTTTAATTAAACCGAAACATTTATTTAATATATTTAAGGGACGATAAATTCTTTATATTTTAATATAAAACACACAATGAATTGTTGTGTGTGTGTGTATTTTTTTAATTATTTTTACTTTAACTTTTTGCCTTGTGTCTCGCTCGACAGTCGTCGAGCACTACTTCTCTTTTCGATCTTTTCGATTCTTAAACTCGAGAATTATCGCACGCCCACACACTCCAAAAATAGAACAAATTTATTTTCTTTCTTGTATTATTTGTTAATTTTTAATTTCGAACTTTAAATTTGTTTCCTTCTATTTCGTTCATCTTAATAATAATAAATAAAATAAATAGAATGTAAATTTCTAGGTTATGTAACTCGCGGGAATTTTAAAACCAATTTCGACAAAATCAATTGTTTTTTGTCCACATTGTTGTTGTTGTTGTTTAGAATTAGTAATTTTATAATTTAATTCGATAGTTGCATGTAGTATTTAATTGTAATTCTCCTTTTATGCAAATATAAAGTGCGAAACACGCGGATAAAATCTGGAAAATTCTAGGTTATGTAATTCGCCAGAATAGCGGGAATTTTTGAAAACCAGAAAATACAATTTTTCGACCATTATTATTATTAATTTTGTAAAAAAAATTAAAATTCATTAATTAAAAAATTACAGTATTTCATATTTTTATTAAGTGTAACTGTATTTTTTTTATAAATTTACGAAATAAACTTTCTGAAAAATTCTAGTTATGACGTCGAGGGGAAAAAGTAAAAATTAAATAAATAAAAATAAAATTATAAAAAAATATAAATAAATAAAAATGAAATAACAAATTTAATTTTAGAATTAAATTTTATTATTTATTTATTTATTAATCACAATTAAATAATGCTATTTTTTAACAAATTTCTAGCCTTTTTCTTTAGATCCTCAAAAAAAGGAAGGAATTTCCGTGTAATTTATAATTATAATTTTTTTTCCCCCTTTTCTTTTTAATGATGATCTTCTTTTGGTGGCTCGCCATAAGTTTTTTTGTAAAACTCAACGTATTCTTTCTTTCTTCGTTCCCGTTTGGCAAAGTATTTTGGATAAAATGCCTTTTCCCAAGGATCCCAACAATCAATTATCCAATCGGGAACAAGTACCTCACGTCCATAAGCACAACCACCCAAAGATTCGGGAAATTTCTTTGGTATTGGATGCTCATTAGCATATAACCATTGTACAGCCTCGTTATATTTTATTTTTGCTAATCTCAAATCTTTAATGTTTTTATTGGCATCGAATTTTGATCTAAGAATTACTGCTTGATATCTAACGAAATTACCAAAAAAAAAAGAAAATCAGGTAAAATATTTTGAATAAGAACTATTTTTTTTTAGTGTAGTGCTAGACAAATTTTTTTATACAAAAAATAAACATAAGCTTGTTACTTAAAATCTTGATTAAAAATTCTTTAATAAATAGAAATCTTAAATATAACAGATTTTTGTCATTATTAACATTATGTATTTATTTATTAACAAAGTTCGAACAAAAATAAATGTCTCACCTGAATTCAACTTTCGTATCGGCAAAAGCATCATAATTTCGAAGCATAGCTTTATAGAGACGGCAAACTTTTTGCGAGTGTGACAACAATCCCGTTGGGATGTTTGCCATTTTTGCAAAAACAATCACCAACAATAAAATTCAAAGATTATTTTGCTCTATTTCATTCAGTTGAAAGGAAAAAAAAATTACTCAAAACTTATGTAAAATATTATCATCTAATAACCATGAAAGTAAAAATAATTCTATTTATAGCGCCCCTGGTGGTAGACGAAGAATACTTGACAACCTAAAGGTTCGTTTGTAGTTCAAAAGTGATGCATTTCCGCAGGGTTGGGAAGTTAGGCCATAATGTTTCGGGAGTGCACTATTCTGATTGGCTATCAAAAACAACTGTTAAACCTTTTAACCAATCACAAAATTTCTTTAAATCACATATATTTCTCAACGGAAATTAAACCATCGCCTGCGTCCATGTTTTTTTAACGCCAAAAGAGAAAAAAAACCTGTGTTTATTTATAAACTTTATAAATTTGTTATAAATCCCCGTTTTTCGCGTGTGAAAAATTAAATTAACATCTTTTGGATTATTTGATAATTTATATTTTTTTCGTAGAGAATATTTAATAACGTTACAAATGAAATACTAATAAATACACAACAAATAATTATAATGTTTACTTGACAGAGAGTGAAATTTTGTTTTTATTTCGCAAAATAAATCTAATTTAAAAATCATTTTTCCTTTACGATCGAATACATAAAGTAAAGGAGAAAAATGATGCCAACAATGCCACCAGATACTCATAAAATTTCACTAAAAGTTATTGAAGCAGTTAAACAACATCCAGTACTTTATATTTCTGAGGTTAAGAGCAGTGTTATTAAACTTCAAGAATTTCGGCAAAAAGTTTGGAAAAGAATATCGGACGAATTGGGTCTTGATCGTGAGTAAAAATTTTACTTTATTTTGCATTTTTTTACACTAAAAAAAATATTACATTACTGTTTAATAATTTATTCCCTATTTTTCTATAAATTGTTAACTTTGTTATTTTTCTTATTGTTTTTTATAGATATTTTTAAACCCTGTTTTTTTAAACAAAAAGTAAAATTATTTTATTATTATGTTAGTCTTTAATTAGATATATCTATTAATTTTATAATTTATTATCTTTTATTTTTATTTTACTAGCTAATTAAAAAATTAATTGCAGTAAAAATAGTATCTAATAATAACATTAATTATAACAACAGTAATACAATAATAATCGACATAACAATAATAATTTGATAATAATTATTTTAAAATATTTTGAAATTAAAAATTCAAAGCAATGAGAAACTATAACTTATTATAAAAAAAATTAATTTTTTACAGCCAGTTGGGTGAAATTAAGATGGAAAAATCTTCGTGATACTTACTGTCGAATTTTAAAATATAAAAATAAAACGGAGAAAGGAATTCGTCGAAAAAAATGGATTTTCGAGGATCATTTAAATTTTCTGAAATTTCCGTAAGCAAATTTCTAATCACTTTTTATTGATTTAGTTATAAAAATAAATAAAATTTTCCTATTAATACTTAATACAAAAATAATTTAATTAAATTTTTAAGATATTTGGAAAGCTTTTTTCGTTAACAAAAATTTTTAAAAGGAAAATTTTGATTATTTTTAAATTTTTGTAAATAAAATTTCTAGAGTAAAATGTTTATGCTTTTTTCGATTAAGTTTAAATTTTCAAATGTAAAATTTTATTAATATTTTTTTAACTAAAACTTTTAGAGTAAAATTTTGATATTTTTTCGGTTAAATTCAAATTTTTGAAAGTAAAATTGTTAAAATTCTCTATTTTTGGTTTATTTAAAATTTTCAAATGTAGTATATTATTAATTTTTTTTAAACTAAATTTTTTAGAGTAAAATTTTGATATTTTTTCGGTTAAATTTAAATTTTTCAAAGTAAAATTTTGTTAATTATTATTTTTCTTTGACGATTTAATGAAAATCAGTAAAACAAAAGTTTCTTAATAAATTGATTTTTTTTCCCACAGCTATGAAGTGGATTATGAGCCGCAATGCGTTATTCTCTCCGAGGAATATGTAAAGGAAATAAACGACGGTGATTTAAGTTCAGACGATCTTCTCCAACAGCTCGAGGATCGAAACGACGAGGATTACAGTGAATATTTAGAATTAGAAGAAACAACGTCCGATCCAATATTATCAAAAAAGAAACTTGGAAGGCGGAAAAAAAGTCCCTCATTCACCGAATCTGATGAACCAGTAGAGAAAAAATTAAACCTCAATTCATCAGCGCAGGAAATTGAAGCAAAATATCGAAAAATTCGACCAAAAAATACGGAAAATGATGAATTTACACGTAAAAATTCACAACTAAATAATGACCAAACATTAAATGTTCCTAGTCAAAATTGTTTACAAACACAAAATTTAAATAAGAAAAAAACAATTTTTCCAGGACAGGAGAAATTATTGCAAATTAATTCCAAAACAGTGGAAAGTAATAATAATAATAATAATAACAACAATAATAATAATTCAAAATTCAGTGAGGAAACTAATGTTAATGCGGAGAAATTAATGAAAAGTAGTTTGGAATTATTTTTCGACAGTATGGCGCAAACGGTGAAAAAATTACCATCACAAGCGCAGTTGGACATTAAAAAGGACATTTCACGAATAGTGACGAGCGCAGAATCGAGATTAAAAAGCAAAAAAAATCCCCCCAAGAAGGAGGAAGTTACAAAGACGAAAATTTTTCCAAAATTGGTACTCATACCTTGTAGCATGATTGATAAATACAAGAAATAATTCTCTTTTTCTCTATTTCTCTGAGTAAATTTTCTTTTTTCTCTTTGTGAATAATAATTTTTTTTAGTCCATTTTTTTCATTGTTTTTTTTCTCCTGTGAATAAATAAATTTTTTTTTATTCCGTTTTCTTTCTTTAGAGTGAATTAATTTTTTTTCATTCAATTTTCTTTCTTTTGAGTGAATTAATTTTTTTTCATTCAATTTTTTTTTTTTGTTTTTGAATGAATGAATTTTATTTCTCATTCATTTTTCTTTCTTTTGAATAATGAGAAATTGTGTTTTCATTCAGTTTTCTGTTTTCTCTTTGTGAATATGTACAGAATTTTTTTTTTCTTAAAAGTGAAAAAGTTGCAAGTAATAAATTTCTTATATTAATTGGTTTATTTCTTCATTTTCATCGATTTTTCTTGGATGAAAATTATAATATTTACTTACGTGTAATAATTAATTTTGCTAGAAAGTAAAATTTATTCGAAATACTTTATATTTGAATGATTACTTTATTAAAAGTATATTTATATAGAGTGAAATGTGTAAATTAAAAAAAAACTTTGTAAATTTAATAAAACGAGAAAAATGTTTTTTATACGTGTATTTTATTATTTTGACAATTTTCCTATAGTCTTAAATATTTAATTAACATTTCTAATGTTACTTTTAATTTTCACTTTTTTGTTTTATTAAAATTTTCCAAAAGTAAAATTATGTTAAAGTTTTTTTTGTTTTAACCAGTTTTCAAAGTAAAATTTAGATAATTTTTTTTCTAGATAAAATTTTCGAAGTAAAATTTTGATATTTTTTGGTGCAACTTAAATTTCAAAAGTAAAATTTTGAAAATTCTTTACTTTAATTATATTATAATTATTAATAATAATAAATAATTCTCTCTAATTTATATTTCAAAATTTGCCGCCTAATCCGACATTTTAAAAAGGAGCAATACTAACCAAATCAAAACACCAACAGTTTTTGAAAAAAATTAATTTTCAATTTCTATTCAGAAACAATTTGTTCTTAAGTGATACTATTCTTTTCCAAATCGTTAATTCCTTACAATAAGAAATCGTTAAGAAATTATTTTCAACAATTGTCATAAAAATCGTATAAAATGAAAATTAATTTTGAACAAAAATATTAAAAATGCGTCTATTGTTTATACCGTCAATTGACTAGAGTTGTGGTCACGTATACACAATAACAAAATGTCATTGTATATGTATATTTATGACAATCACACAACAGAGCGATTGCATTTGATCACAAAACTTTAAAGAAGCTTGTTTTCGTTTTTTACTTATTATTACTATTATTATTATAATTATAATAGACACAAGGAAATATTGTAATAATTTACAGTTTATTATTGAGGAAATTTCAATAGACGAAGAAATGTCGAAAGTGAAAAAAGCATTGTGCATGTTATTAATTCACTCCGGGAGGAAGAATTGATGAACTTTGGTTTTTTTTCCTTTCCATCATTGGCAATTTACAATTTTGACGAACAATAATAAAAAAATAGAGGTAAATCTATAATTTAAGTTTGAATTTGTTTTAGGAAATAGTTTCTAGTTATTTATATATTCTTACAATTATTATTTCATACTACATATCTTTTTTTACTTCTTCTGTCAGTTTCCTGTCAACATAACCTAAAAAAACAATTTTTTTAATCAATAAAACGTAATTAAATGAGTAATTTTTTACTTTATTTTAATTAATGACGAATGTTTTCCTTTAATTATGAATTAACATCAATTGTAATTAATTTACATTAATTGACAAATCGTTTGCTTTTGAAATTTCGTGAATTTTTTTCAAAAATTGGATTAATTTTTACTGTTTTTCAAAAATTCTTTTGTAAAATTCAAATATTTTCAAATAACATTTGTACTTAGTTTGAATTATTTGGAAACTTTTCTATTTTATATAAATAAAAACTCTACAATCTTTCAAAAATTTATAAAAATCATTGTAAAAGTTCAATTACTTTCAAAAGTTTTTTGCAATTCAATAATTTTCAATATTTACTATGTATTTTCATAAAATTTATCAACAGATTTAATTATAGAAAAAAGTTTTTGATATAATTCTACGAAAAGATTCAATTATTTTCATAAATAATAAAATTTCATTTACGAATTCAATTATTTTCATCACTGAATTTCAAATATTTTTAATACCTACAATCTTAAATAAATTCCTTAAAAATTCAATTGTTATTAAAAATTTTATTAAAACTTGAGCAAAGAATTCAATTTTAAAAAACATTCAATTATTCAATAAAACGATAAAATTCGTTGCAATAATTCAAATATTTTCATAAATAACATTTAATTCGTCGCAGAAAATCAATTATTTTCAAAAATTTTTAAGTCATTTTACAAAAAAATTCAATTAGCTTGATAAACAACAAAATCGCATAAATTCTTCCCATAAAATCAATTATTCTAAGGAATTTTATAACAAAATTCTTTTCCAAAATTCAATTATTTTGATAAATATCAATATTCAACACAAGAATTCAATTCTTTTGAAAAGTAATAAAATACTTTGCAAAAATTAAATTATTTTCAAAATTAATAAAATTCTTTGAGAAAATTCAATTATTTTCAAAATTAATAAAATTCTTCGCAGAAATTCAATTATTTTTAAAGAATCTACCAAAAATTGTAAACATTTTAATTATCTTTATAAATGAATAGCAAAATTCGTCGAAAAAATTCAATTATTTTCAGGAATTCGAATAAAATTCATTTTAAAATTCAATTATTTTCATAAATAATAAAATTCTTTGACAATATTCAATTCTTTTGAAAAGTAATAAAATACTTTGCAAAAATTAAATTATTTTCAAAATTTTTTTTAAAAATTCTCGTCAAGAATTAAATTATCTTTATAAATAGATAGGAAAATTTCTTCTCAAGAATTAAATTATTGTCGAAGACTCGGAGTGATTCATTTCTTCATGTTTTACAATAATATTTTTATTAGTTATTTTTATTTCAAAAAGGTTTAAATTTAAATGTTTTGAACATCCTAATTCCAATAAAAAAATGATTAAATATTTATTTTAAATAAAACTATTGATGTTTTCGAATAATTTTACTTTTGAAGAAATTTGTAAATAAATTTAATAGAAAATTTTTTTGAGTATCTAATAATTTTTAAGAGTGAATCAGAATATTCTTTAGAGTCAGGAAAAAAGTGAAAGTTGTGTTTGGAAATCAGGGAAAAGTGAGGGAAAAATAAAGTTAAATTTTTGTGAGAACCCTGTATAAATAAATTATATTTTTATCTTTATTTAACCAATTTTTATGGTCCCCTAAAAGTCCCTTATTTTTTAATTTTCAGTCCCCTATTTCCCCTAAAATACTTTTTAGGGGCACTGTGAAGCCTATTGAATTCTTTCCAATAATTTTATCAAAATTTTAGGAAATAATTGAAAAAAATTAGATTAATCTCATTATTGCCTAAAATTCTAACTAAAATTCATTTTTAAATCAATTTTTATTAGAAAATTCTACGAGAATTCAACTATTTAAATACAATTTAAAATCCATTCGTAATTTGTAAATTACATTAAAATCGAGAATAGGAGAAATAAAAAAATTGTATATTAAAAATAAAACTAAATTTCTTTTTTTACAGACAAAAGAGAATATTTTTTTTGTCGAAAAAACAAAGAGAGAAAATGGACGAAATGGAGGAAAATTTAACGGGCGATGAGACTTGCGAGGAAGGCGTTGAGAGTTATGGAAAATTTGTATCTCACGACGAACAAGTTGACGAAGGTACAATAGAATATCTCGATTTGGATATGGAAGTAATACAGGATGCCGATGACGATTGTCAAACAACGCAAGTTGCAATAATCGACACACAAAAATATACACAAAAAAAACGCCAACGTATCAAGGATTCAAATAAAAATCTCCAATCAACATCAACATCATCATCATTGGAAAAGAAAGTAACACCAAATGAATTTAAATTACGACCAAAATATCGACCAATACGACCAAAACCAAGTTCACAATTAAATTCCGTGACGCGAACAAATAAATTACAAAGTTTAACGCCAATTGTTAATTTTAATCCAACATCGGGATTTATTGTTGCCGCCCCATCGACGACAGTGATAAAAAAAGAGAAGGGCCATGAGACTTATGTGGCAGCGTCCCCAGTTAATAATAAATTAACGACATATTCAAAAATGATGACAAACGGAGCTAGCGGTCTTATTGGCACTAAGGATAATTTATTATCAACAACCCCAAATACAACAACAACAACAGCAGCATCGTCAATATTATCATTATCGCCACAAAATGAATTACAAAATGGTAATAATAAAACAAAAACCCGTCACATGATACCTAAAAATAGTGTCGAATTATTTTTTGAAAGTATGGCAAAAACAGTTCTCAATTTACCGACACACGTTCAGGCCGAGATTAAAATGGAAATTTGTCGCGTTGTCACTATGGCGGAAATTAAATATCTATCCGAGGAAGTGAAAAACGATAAAAAGGATTGATAAAAAGAAAAGAAAAAAAAATTGATAAAAAAGAAGTTAATAAATAATTTAATTTGTATATTATTACAGTAAATTTTAATTATTATTATGTATAAAACAAAAAAAGAAGAGAAGAAGTAATGGGAGATTTTTGTTTTCTTTGTTGTACATATTTTAGTGATTTCAAAATATATCTTTCGACAGTCATTTCGAGCGTTTTTTCTTCTCCCTTTGGTGATAAATCTTTTTTTTTTAAACATATTTGGATTTGTGAAATAATATAAGAAAACTGAATTTAATTTTTTTCTTTAATGTTCTCACATTAAAGGAAAAAATTAAATTCAGTTTTCTTATATTATTGTATTATTTTCTTATATCTGAAATGAGGAAAACTTTTTTCCATTTTTTAGACCCTTTTTCAAACTTAAAACATTTATTTCACTATTTAACGAGTATTAATTTATTAATAATTAAAAATTATTTCTCAAGAATTATCGCTTCTTAGTTTGATATTTTGTTTCCTATTATTTTTTCAAATGTTTTCAATTTTTGAATTTTTTCTACTTTAATCTTCAATAACTAAAAATTAATTAAACAAAAAATTTTCACTATTTCAAATTAAAAATTATTAAAAAATTTAATTTGCTTTCAGTTTCAATTATTTTATTTTCCATAATTTGGCAGATTTAATTTAATTCTTGAATAAAAAATAATTTAATTCCTTCAAGAATTTTTTAAATTATCAAAATAGTTGAATTAGTCAAAGAATTTTATTAAAATTTTTGAAAATAATTTAACTTATGTATTTTATAATTTATTAAAATAATTCAATTCTTTCAAAAAATTTTATTATTTTTAAAAGAAAGTGAATTCTTGCGTAGAATTTTATTAAAATTTTTAAAAATAGTTGTAATTTCGAACAATTTTATTAAAATTTTCAAAAATAATTGAATTCCTGCAAGAAGATTTATTTTTTTTAAATATTGAATTTGAATTTTTTATTAAAATTTTCAAACAGTAATTAAGTTAAAAAAATGTTATTAAAAATTCTATTCAAAGTAATTAAATTCTTTTGAAAAATTTTCTTAATATTTTTGAAAAAAAATTGAACTTTGGAATAATTTTATTTAAGTGTTAAAAATAATTGATTTTTAAAAATTATTTTATGAAAATTCTATTAAAAATAATTCATTTCCTGTGAAGAATTTTGTGATACATGTAAATAATTGAATTTTTTGCGAGAGAATTTTATTCAAATTCAATTGAGAGTAATTGAATTCTTATACAAAATTTTATCGAAAAAATTTTTCCAGAGGATTAAAAAAAAAGTAACAAAGTAAAAAAGTAAAAGTTTCGTTTTTCCAAATTTTATTTATAAACATGCTAGAGTGCGAAACGTCGAAATAACACTTTTCATCGCTTACAAAAACGAAAATAAAAAAAAAGAAAAGAAAAAAATATTACAATTCATTTTTCTATAAATTAATCTCCAAAGTATTACAATATTAAATAATACAATAAAATTCAAAAAATTTCTTTGAATCGAGCTTCGCGAAAATGATTGTATATTTTTACAATTCGAAAAATATATTATGTATATATTCAATAAGTATTTTACCATTTTGTTTTTGTTTCAATGCTTGAGTAATTCAAATATTGCAAAAAAAAAAATTATTTGTGCTCAAAAGAGAAATAATTTGTTTTCTTTTTTCGACAAGATAAAAAGAAGAAAAATCAACTAAAACACAAAATAATAAATCTAATAATCTGTTTGTTTCTGTTTTGAGTTTTTTTTTGCAGCTACAAAAAAATAAAAGAGAAAAAAATAACGAAACTAAAAAGCACTTTCAAAATTCATCAAAATAAAAAAAATCACAATCACAGTTACGTTACTTTATAGCTTCTGAAATGCTTTTCACATTTTATTTATTAGTGTTTTTTTTTAATCTTCAGTCTGTGATTTTAATCTTCAGTTATTAAAAATAATAAAATTATAATTATATTAATAAAATAACTATAATTATCAAAATTATAGTAATTATATTATTATAATAACATTAATAATTTTTTAAAAATAGTAGAAAAGGTAAAAAAAAATTATTACTTGAATAATATAATTATTATCATTTTTATGATTATTCGAATAATAATTGATTAAAATTGGAATAGAGAAGATAATGAAAATAATGATAATAAAAATATAATAATAATAATAATAATAAAAAAAAATAATAATATAATAATAATAATAATAAAAATGACAGTAGTAATAATATTAATAATAGTACATCTAGTAGTTTAAGATTAAGAATATGAGACGTATCGTTGAACTATCGAGTAAGTCGAAAAGCTTCTAAAATTCGGAACGTTTTGAAGTGAAGCTTGAAAAGAAAAAGTTTCGAGCATTTTCGTGACTTTCTCAGCACGAGAAAGGTACGTTTTTCTTTTTTTTCGTTATTTCTTATTTCAAAAATTTTAAAAAGCCTTAATAAAATTGCGCTGTCTTTTATTCCTCTTTTTCCGCTTTTTCGACGTCTTGCTTTTCGTCGCCTTCGAATTTTGGACCCGGCGTCTCATCGCCCTCGAGGACAATTTCCTCTGGATCGGGAGCACGCGGGAGAAAATCTTCGCTCGGGTACATTGCCATAAAAATTTCCTTTGCCTGTAGAGAAAGAAAAAGAAAATTTATTTCTCTTCTAAAAACTGAATCAATCTTTAATTAAAACAAGAATTTAAATGTAATTAGTAACTATTATTAACAATTCATTTTTTTATTATTATTAATTCAACATTTTTTTTCTAAATTCTTGTTTTAATTAGAAACAATTTTTTTTATATTTAAAAATTTTACTTGATTCACTGCAAAATCGAAATCCAAATCCAAATCGGGTCCCGAGCAAAAATGAACATTACTCGGAGCAGAATTACTTAATTTTATATCCGAAGCTGGTAAATTTAAATAAAGTGACCACAATGTATGTGGTTTTAAATCCTCAATGTCTTTCGCTTCTTTTTCTCCCTCCTGAAAGTAATATAAACGAGAATAAATTTACAATTTACATTCAAAATTCAATTATTTCTAAAGATTCATACCATAATACTTTTAATATTCAATTATTATCTTAAATTTTAACCAAAATTCATATTTCAATCAATATTTTTTTTTTTAGAAAATTCTATACGAGAATTCAATTATTTAAATACAAAAATAATTAATTTAATGAATAGTTAAATGTTTCTTAAAATTGAATTCTTTCGACGAATTTTAAGAAAATTTTTAATGAATAATTACATTTTTCGACGAATTCAATTAAAATTCTATCAAAAATAATTGAATTCCTAAGAAGAATTTTAATATTTTTAAAAATAATTGAAATTTTGAATAATTTTATTAAAAATTTCAAAAACAAATGAATTTGTTTAAAAAATGTTATTACAATTCTATTCAAAATAATTCAAATCTTTTGAAGAATTTTGTCAATGTTCTTGAAAATGGAGAACTTAAAACTTTTATTTATATAGTAATGATGTTATTTACAATTGTTATTTTTATTTTACTATTTAACGAATATTAATTTATTAATAATTAATAATTATTTCTCAAGAATTATCCCTTTTTAGTTTGATATTTTGTTTTCTATTATTTTTTTCAAATGTTTTGAATTGTTTCTATTTTAATCTTCGATAACAAAATTTTTTGTAAATTTTATAATTATGAATCTGAAATAATTTAATTATTCCATAAAATAGTTTTGTTTAAAAAATAATTTAATTCCTTCAAGAATTTTTTAATTTATCAAAATATTTGAATATTTATAAAGAATTTTGTCGAAGTTTTTGAAAATAATTCAATTCATTCGCAAATTTTTATTTATTTATGAAAATAATTGAATTATTCCAAAGTATTTTGTGATTTATGTTATATAAAAAATTTTATCAAAAAATATTTTCATAATAATTAAATTCCCGTATTTTATAATTTTTATCAAAATAATTGAATTCTTTCAAAAATTTTTTATTAAATTTCTATTAAAAATATCTAATTGAATTTCTTACAAGAATTTTAATATTTTTATAAAAAGAGCAATTGTAATGACGAACAATTTTATTAAAATTTTCAAAAATAATTGAATTCCTTCGAAAATTTTATTAAAATTTTTGATAATAATTGAATTCCTGCAAATTATTTTAATTTTTTCTTAAATAATTGAATTTCTTTTCAAAGAACTTTATTATTTGTGAAAATAATTGAAATTTGGAATAATTTTATTAAAATTCCAATTTTTCAATTCCTTTGAAGAATTATATCAATGATTTTGAAAATAATTGAAATTCCGCAATGATTTTTATTATTTATAAAAATCATTGAATCTCTGTAAAAAATTTTTATTATTTTTGAAAATATAATTGAATTATTGCGAAGAAAATTATTAAAAAGTTTTAGATAATTGAATTCCTGTAAATTTTTTATTGTTTATGTAAATAATTAAAGACTTGCGTATAGAATTTTATCAAAATTTTTTTTAAGTAGCTAATTGAATTCATTTGGAAAATTTTATTATTTATAAAGATAATTGAAATTTTGACGAGAATTTTCATAAATTTTTGAATATAATTGAATTTTTGGAATCATTTGTAACTTCTCCAAAATTCAATTTTTTCGTGTTAACTAAAATTCTTTTATGAATTTATTATTGTTAATAATTATTTAAATAGATATATATTAACAAATTTAACTAATTTAAAAAAAATTACTAAAAAAAACCCTGTAAACAATGCAACAGAAATTAATTTTCCTTTTTACAAAAGAAAAATAAATAGATAAGAAAAGAAAAAAAACAGAAATTTTTTTTACAAAAACTAAAGTTACCGGAAGATGTTGCTTATCGGGAGAAACGGTTTGCGTGTGCGAATCCGTGGGACTGCGGCTAACATAAGGTTCAACGGCTCCGACATTGAGGAACTTCTTGACAACATATTCGAGGTCCTCCTTTGCCGTCTTCGTTCGCTTGCAAGTCATGTGCAGCATGACTGGAATAATGATAGTAAAAATGTGAGACAGAGAGCGAGAGTGAAAAAATACAGAGAAAGGAAAGGTATTATAATTATATTATTATAATAATAATGACACATACAAAGTCCTTGAGGGCAGGCATTTGTCGATGGTCCTAATTCAATTAATGTCACCGCTTCTTGTCCCGTTTCCTCCGGTGGATAATAAAGTAATGTTAAATTTTCCTTATCGCCTTGCATTATTGATTTGTCAGTGATGAAAATTCCCCGTGAAATTTGTTGTTCACCACATGAGGCCACAATTTCCGGTGGTAAATGCCCCTGTCCAACGACCAAGTGCTCGAGTGCCAGTCGTTGTTTTCCGGTGACTATTGCTTTGCATTTATCCTCATTGACAACGAGGCCGTCCAATTGTCTTTTTAGACAGTAAACGCCGCCGAAAACTGCGCACAGTCTGAAAATATAATAATAATGATAATAATAAGAATATAAATATTAATAAAAAAAGTAAATTGTCAGTAATGAAAAAATTTATAGTCACCTGCAGAAGCACTGTGGTAGTTCTCCGCTTCCATACATTGGCCATAAGAATGGAGTATTTCCGTATCTTCCGAGACTATTGAGAAAATGTTTCGTACGATTAACACCATCTCTGCACGATGTCTTATCAGTCGCCATCGCAATTGCCTGCATTACATAGTGCTTGACAATTGGCGTTAAATTTTTCGTATTAAGGTACTCTATGAACGTTTTGTCACGATAACCTGTAATAAAGAGAGTAGAAAATAAAATTTCTACATAAACAGCTGAGAACCTCTAAACATTATTTTTAAATTCTTTTCCATATAGGCTTTCATTTTAAAAACGAGAGGAGAATATTAATCACATTATTATTTCTTTTTTTTTTTTGCATAATTTCCAAGATGACGCACTCAAGATTATTCGTATTTAATTTTAATTCATTACTATTTAATCGTTATTAAAATCGAATGATTTTGAAAATATTTTATTAATACCGTAAGTGAGGCTAAATTCGCTCAATTTTTCAATTCTTTTTTAAATAACTTCGGGAAACGATGAAAATAAACATTGGCACTGAAAATATATAATCTTTAACCCTTTATCTTTCCTATTACTGCATAAAGAAATTGAAATATGTTGCAGAAAATTATTTATAAGCCGTTTTTTTGTGAGCGAATTTACCTTTAAATGATGGGTAAATTCGCTCACCATTATTATTCTGGCAAAATATATTATAATCTGCAAAAATGAAACTAAATATTCTTTAGAATCAATAAAGAAAAAAATTAAGAACAATATTCAAAGTTATTGGAATAAATATTTAATATTGTTTTATCAATAAGTAATTAGATTCAATCATTCAATCAAACGTACTCATAACCATAAAAAAACAAGGTTAAGTTTGACAGTTTAGTGCTTAAACCGTTTTAAATCGTTTAATTTTCAGTTATAAGAGTACTATTATTTCAAAAAATCGAATTATAAATTAAAGTAATTAACATACTTAAAATATCCAGGCCCAAACATCTTTTTTGTAGACTTATTTCCTGAGCGAATTTACACAACAAATTTGAATTTTTTTTTTTAATTGATTTTTTGCAGAATCTGTTTATTGCTTTAATTTTTGTGCTTTATGAATATCATGTTGGAGATACAGGAAATGTAATGTTCAGAAGTATTCAACTTAAAAATTTTGAAGTAAAGCTTTATTTCCTACTTTTTCATACTACTTGTTCAATATGAAAATTATTCACTTGTGTTTTAAATATAATTTCTACTGAAAGTTACCAATGAATTTGCTGCAAATAAATTTTAAATTAAAGTTTACCATTTATATTAACCAAAACAATTGTAAATCTTAAATATTTCTGTCTAAAAAGTATGTTAATCGAATTTTAAAAAATAGACATCGGTTGAGCGAATTTACCCTACATGAGCGAATTTAGCCTCACTTACGGTAGTTTACTTGTTAATAATAATATCTATTATTATATTTTTTATTAATTATTAAATAAATATTAATAATAAAAAATACTAATAACATTTTTTATCAATAATATTTTTTATTAATGAGCAATTCCGTGGTAAGTTTGAAAAATTTAGATTTTAAAAGATTTTAATTTGAAACTTTTTCAAAATTCAATTATTTCTAAAAATTTAAACTAATGTTTTTAATATTCAATTATTATCTAAAATTTTAACTGAAATATTAATTTTTAAATCAATTTTTATTACAAAAGTTTTAAGAATAATTACATTTTTCGAGGAATTCGTTTAATATTGTATTAAAAATAATTGAAATTCTGCTATGAGGTTAATTATTTATGAAAATAATTGAATCCCTGTAAAAATTGTTATTGTTTATGAAAATAATTGAATTATTGCGAAGAAATTTAAAAAAATATATATATTAATAGAATTCCTGTGAAATTTTTATTATTTGTGAAAATAATTAAAAGTTTTGCGTAGAATTTTATTAAAAATCTTTTAAGTAATTGAATTCTGTTGGAAAATTCTATTATATTAGTAAATATTGAAAATCATTGAATTGAGGAAAATATTTGAAAATTGGACAAGAATTTTATTCAAATTTTTTAAATTAATTGAATTTCGAAGAAAAAATTTGTTATTTATAAAGAGAATTAAAATTTTGACAAGAATTTAAAAAAAAATTTTGAACATAATTGAATTTCTGAGACAAATTTTATTATTTTTGAAAATATAATTGAATTGTTGCGAAAAAATTTATAAAAAACTTGTAAATAATTGAATTCCTGTGAAATTTTTATTATTTATAAAAATAATTAAATGTTTGCGTAGAATTTTATTAAAACTTTTTTAAAATAATTGAATTCTTTTGGAAAATTGCATTAAAATAGTAGATATTGAAAATCATTGAATTGAGGAAAATTTCTGAAAATAATTGAAATTTTGACGAGAATTTTAATAAATTTTTGAACAATATTAAATTTTTACCGAAGAATTTGATCACTTCTGAAAATAATTGAATTTCTGCAATAATTTGTAACTTCTCCAAAATTCAATTTTTTAGTGTTTTTAACTAAAATTCTTCTATAAATTCATTATTTTTAATAATTAATAAAATATATATTAAAAAATTTAACTAATTTCAGAAGAATTTTAGTTTACAAAATTTTTTTTAAATCTAAGTTTTTTTTATATTTCTAATTAAGTGGGTTAAAAATTAAAATTTTGTAAAATTTCAAATTGAAACCTTTTGAAGTTTATCTCTTTATGAAAATTGTAAACGCGATTCTATTAAAATCAATTAATTTTGAAATATATAAGTAAAATTATGCATTGAATGATTTCTAAGAAGTAATAATGATTTTCCTGACCAATTCTACTTTCTTCGACTTTTTCCTGAATTCCCTGACTTCTCTGACTTGTGGCAACCCCGAATATTTTTTATTTAGAGAATAGTTAAAAAAGGGGTAAAAATAAAAAAATTCAAACCATCGAATTCAGGACTGTCGGCTCCTTGTTCCATGCATGATGTCAATAATTGCATCAACATTCGTTTCTCGATGACGCTCACGGTTTTGTTCGCAAACACATCGGCCCTTGAACACGGCACCTGGACGAGTTTACTCTCCATGAATGTCGCGACTCTTGAAACTGCTCGGAATTCCGCATATCGGGCAATGTTACTCGATATTAATAATTCCACGAGTTCCCCACGAGCGTAAAGTAACTGAAAATATTTTTTTTCTCTTTTAATAATATATTAACAAAAAGTAACAGTAATAAAATTAATAATATTAAATATTGATTCTAATGATTCAAATAAATTAGAAAATTTAGAACTTTTAATTTATATAGAATTTAAATATAGAAAATATAGAAAAAATTGATAAATACCTTTGGTGCCAAATCGATGTTAAATCTACGATACTCTTTTTTAATTCTATCCGTACTCCAGTGTTTAACGATTTCCTTCTTCTCGGCTTTGTCCTCGTCACATTTCTCATCGCCATCCGCTGGAGCATCGCCTGAACCCTCGGTCTGCGTATCTTTCGATGATCGTTCCGGAAGATCCGCATCACTATTTAATCGAAAATTCGAGAAAACAATTGAGTAACAAAATAAATTTTAATTAATTTTACTTTATAATTTAAATAAATATAAATTTCTGTATACGAAATTCCCCTTATTTAAATAATTTAAATTTAAACAATTTAATTTCAAATTAAAATTAAATTAAAATAATTAAAATTAAAAGTTGAAGTAAAGATTAGATAATTATTTTTAATCACTGTAAAAATAAATTTTTAAAAAATTATTTCCGGACTTACTTGACAATATACCAAGTCTCCTCAATATTTTCGACGGTTGAATATTGATTACTGGCTTTTAAAAAATTTTCTCCACCCTCAACATTAGGATCGCTCTCCTTGCTTTCAGTTTTATTGCCTTTCAAATCCTCTATCCATTTTTGAAGACCGTCGAAATTAAAGGTCGCCCATAAACCTCCGTAATATTCGTTACTGAAAAAGAAACGATAAAAGTTACAAAAAAACATTCGACAAAAAAATTAATTAACAATATTATTGTATTATTTATTTCATTCTGTTTTATTTGTAATTTAATTTCATTGCTAACATAAAAAAAATTTAATCTCAAAAATAGAAAAAATTAAAAAAAGAATTAAGAAAAAACAGTATACAAAAAAAAAATAAAAGAAGGTTAAGTAAGTAATTAACAAACAATAAGGTAATTTATAATAAATTAACAAAACAAATTAATGTGATTGATAACAATTTTTTTAATTATTATTAAACAAATTTAAAAATTAAAAAAATTATAAATTACAAACTTTTCTTAAAAAGTTAAAATTACTTATTCTTAAAAAAATCTTTTCTTTACTTTTCTAAACAGCCGCCAAATTGAAATTAACTTTTTTACTTGAAGTCAATGAAAATTGTAAATTAAAAAATAATTCAATATCTTCGGAAGAATTTAATTTTTTAACTAAAATTCTACTTTAAATCAATAATATCAATTATTATTCAATTAAACTTTTTCAAAAAAATTAATTCTACAGAATTGTTAGTTAAAATTACAAAAAATAAAAATTTAATTCTACGAGAAATCAATTATTTAAATACAAAAATAAATAATATTGAATGCTTCTTAAAATTTAATTTTTACGAAGAATTTTATTAAAAACTTTTGAAAATATTTAATTTCTTTTATGAAATTTAATTAAAAGTTTAATAAAATTTATTATATTAAAGAATTTTATAACAATTTTTGAAAATAATTGAAAACTTTTTGAAAAATTTTATTCAATTTTTTAAAAATAATTAAATTCCTGAGAAGAATTTAAATAATAATTTTTGAAAACAATTGAATTCATGAGAAGAATTTTATTAAAATTTTTGAAAATAATTGACTTCTTGAGAAGAATTTTTCCTATCTATTTATAAAGATAATTTAATTCTTGACGAGAATTTTTAAAAAAATTTTGAAAATAATTTAATTTCTGCAAAGTATTTTATTACTTTTCAAAAGAATTGAATATTGTCAAAGAATTTCATTATTTATGAAAATAATTTAATTTTAAAATGAATTTTATTCAAATTCCTGAAAATAATTGAATTTTGTCGACGAATTTTGCTATTCATTTATAAAGATAATTAAAATGTTTACAATTTTTGGTAGATTCTTTAAAAATAATTTAATTTCTGCGAAGAATTTTATTAATTTTGAAAATAATTGAATTTTCTCAAAGAATTTTATTAATTTTGAAAATAATTTAATTTTTGCAAAGTATTTTATTACTTTTCAAAAGAATTGAATTCTTGTGATGAATATTGATATTTATCAAAATAATTGAATTATGGAAAAGAATTTTATTAAAATTCCTTAGAATAATTGATTTTATGGGAAGAATTTATGCGATTTTGTTGTTTATCAAGCTAATTGAATTCTTTTGTAAAATTACTTTAAAATTTTTGAATTTTTGATTTTTTTTTTTTTTTTTTTTAAATTTTTTTTTTTTTTTAAATTTTATTAAAATAATTGATTTTCAGCGACGAATTAAATGTTATTTATGAAAATATTTGAATTATTGCAACGAATTTTATTGTTTTATTGAATAATTGAATGTTTCTTAAAATTGAATTCTTTCCTCAAGTTTTAATAAAATTTTTAATAATAATTGCATTTTTCAAGGAATTTATTTAAAATTGTATTAAAAATATTTGAAATTCAGTGATGAAAATAATTGAATTCGTAAATGAAATTTTATTATTTATGAAAATAATTGAATCTTTTCGTAGAATTGTATTAAAAAGTTTTTTCTATAGTTAAATCTGTTAATATATGAAAATAGTAAATATTGAAAATTATTGAATTGCAAAATACTTTTGAAAGTAATTGAACTTTTGCAAAGATTTTTATAAATTTTTGAAAATAATTGAATTTTTGGCGAGCAAAAAATTTTGCTATTTGTAAAGATAATTGAATTCTTGACTGTGAAGCCTGATATTAAATAAACTCAATTGAATTAAAATAATTAAATTCTAAAAATCATAAATTAGAATAAATTAATCATATTTTAATTTTCTAAACCTTTTTTATAAATAAATAAATATATAAATAAATAAATGCAATTATAATTAACATTATTATTATTAATACTAAAAATATTATTAATTCTAATACCAGAAATAATAATAATACTAAAAAAAATATGAAAAATCTAAGTAAAAGATCTCATAAAAAATTCAATAAATAAAAAAAAATACTTTCGAAATAATTAGCATTCGAGAAACGTAGACATATTTGGGAAAATTCGAAACACCCTTCACCCTATAATATTCAAAACCTCCATTGCTTGTCGCTATGCCGACAAAACTCATAAAAAACACAACTCTTTCCATCACAGTACATAAAAGCATTTCGTCTCTTTCTCTCAATAAATTTATAAAAACAGCTTTCAAAAAAATCCAGCTCGAAAAATTTTCCATTTAAAAATTAGATTTTAAATTAAAAAAAACAGAGAAAAAATCCATAAGGAAAATTATAAGAAAAAGTGCGAAATTGCATTAAAAAAAAATTGTAATGATCACCTGTCAAGGTGGAGGACTTTTTTGCCAATTCGACTGGCAGCTGCGGCAATAATGGACTCAGTCATTCCTAAAAAGAAATTTTGTTAAAAATAAAATTAATATACAATTTTTGAAAATATTGACATTTATCTGAAAATAAACCGAAATTTTTCATTTTTAGAAAATTGAAATATTTTCCACTTTTTATTTCGTTTCTTATCTAGGATGATAAAAATCAATACCTGTTCCAACGACAATCACGTCGTATTCAGTTGGCAGATCGTCCTCCATGATTTGCAATTGATTTTTATTTATTATTTAATTTTTTTATTATAAAAAACAAAAAAAAATTCCTTCACACTTTTTTTTGAATTCTTTTTTTTTTTAAGTATTTAAGAGAATTTCTTCTTTTGATTGGGAATTTTTAGTTCATTTTTCATATGGAAAATAAAAGGGAAAAAGTAATAATTTTCACATTAAAATTTTAGTCGGGAACAAAAGCCTCTCCCACTTCGTGGAGAAAGAGAACTGTCACTACTGTCACTTTTTTTTCTATTCCACTTTCCCAGTTTAATGGGAAAATTCCACCAATCAGAAGTCGAGTTACAGTGGAATTGAGTTTGCGCAAAAAGTTCCTAGATGAAGTTTCCGAACCCTGACGATCGGTATGAACACGCCTTTATGTAGATTCGTAGAATTCCTTGACAATTCCTAGATTTCATAGTTTTTTAGGTTATGTTTGGTTATTTCGCAACGTGATTCTCGCGTGTTGCGCGTGTTTTTTGGTGTTTTTTTAAAATCTTTTTTATTAATTCACTATTAATAAAGAGTTTTTCAATAAAAATTTGTGATTATCAATATATTGAGTTAGTGAGTAAATTAGAATAATTATGTAATTTGAGAGGAATGACAATGATTTTGTAATAAAAGTTTTTTAAAAGTGTTGTGCGTACAAATTTTGAATTTTGAAAACTAGAGACTGTTCGTAGTGTCCAGTAGTGCTTGTTTTTTTCCTAATTTTTCCACGGAAAAATGTCGAAAAATCCAAGGAAAAAATTAAGAGACAAAAATAGTGAGACAATTGTACAAAAGAAGAATACAAAATTTAAATATCCCGAAGTACGTCGCGATGATGTAGTTGATAATTATCATGGAACAAAAGTTTCCGATCCATATCGTTGGCTTGAAAATTCAAATTCAGACGAAACGAAAAACTTCATTGAGGCACAAAATTTATTAACTGATTCCTATTTGAATTCAACGTCGAGTTTAAAAGAATCTATACAAAATTGTCTAAAGGAATTGAGAGAAAATTTTACACGTTACACAATTCCCGCGAGATATGGAGACAAATATTATTTTGATATCGATTCAATATTATACGTTCAAGACACATTGGATAGCGATGAGCCGAGAGTACTTCTTGATCCTAAAAATTTAACATCGTCCAATGATGGTTCGATTTTTCCATTTTCGAATTTCAGTCACGATGGTAGTATTGTTGCTTTTGCATTTTTTCAAAACGGATCCATTGGGACGGATATTCATTTCTTAAATACCGAAACAGGTGTGAAAAATAAACTGTTGAATAATATTTTCTTTTTTACTAAATCAACCTTTTTATTTTTTACAGATATTTTCTTCAAGTCATAAAAATCATGGAATTGACATAGAATTTTATTTTGGTGCAGAAAATCATGGAAACAATTCAATTATTTTCAAAATTTAAAAAAAAATTCTTCCTCAAGAATTCAATTATTTTCAATACAACTTTAATAAAATTTAGCAAAAGAATTCGATTCTTTTAATAAATAATAAAATTCTTCACAAGAATTCAATTATTTTCAATACAATTTTAATAAAATTTGGTAAAAGAATTCAAATCTTTTGATAAATAATAAAATTCTTCGCAAGAATTCAATTCTTTTAATAAATACATGAAATTTTTCGCAAGAATTCAATTATTTTTGTAAATTTTAATATTTTTCGTAAGAATTCAATTATATAATTAAAAATTGAAATAAAATTCGTTCTAAAAATTCAATTATCTTTATAAATAATATAAATATCTCGAAAGAAAACAATTATTTAAAAAAATGTTATTATAAAGATGTTGTTATGTTAATTATAAAGAATTAAATTATTTCGACAAATTTTGATAAATCGCTGCATAAAATTCAGTTGTTTTCAAAAATATTAATTAAATTTTTCGAGAATTCAATTATATTTAAAATTTTTATTAATAAACTTCTGAAGATTTCAATTATTTCGAAAAATGTTTATAACTTTTTTTAAAAATAATTCAATTATATTTCTATAATTTTTTATTAAATGTCTGAAATAAATTCAATTATTTTAATTTAATTTTTCCTCGAATCTCAATTATTTTCAAGAAATTTATTAAAATATCTTTACACGAAGTACAATTCTTTGAAAAAATTAAATTATTTTCGAAAATTTTGATTAAATTCTTTATAAGAATTCAATTATTTTTCATTAAATTCTTCGAAATAATTTAATTACCTGCTCAAAAATTTTAATTAAATTCTTTGTAGATATTCAATAATTTTCAAATTTTTTAAAGAAAATTCTTCGAGATTTTAATAATTTTTATATTTTTTTTCAAAAAACCTTCTAATGAATTCAATTATATTATTTTGAATAATTTGTATAACATGTTTTAAAAGAATTATTTGTTTTGCAAATCAAAATTGAGTAGCTTTCTTTTCGTATCTTTAAAGAAAATTAGAAAATTGTTAAAAAAAATTTTGAAAAATATTATTTTATGAGAATTCAATTATTTTTAAAAATTTTAGTAAAATTCTTCGAGATTTCAATTATTTTCGCAAATTTTTAATAATATTCTTTGTAAGAATTCAATTATTTTCCTAAATTCTAATAAGATTCTTGGAAAACATTCAATTATATTTAAAAATTGAAATGAAATTGTCCCTAAAAATTCAATTATCTTTATAAATAATATAATGTTTCGAAAGAATTCAATTATAATATTTTTATAAATCCTAACAAAAATTCTTCGAAAGAATTTAATTATTTCAAATTCAAAGTTATAAGTTTTTTTTAACAAAAATATTTTTTAAAACTTAATAATAAAGTGGCTTATTAATGCATTGTCTAATTTTAATAAAATTTACAATAAGAAAACTATTAACTGATAAAAATATTGACGTTGCATTTTTTTTTTTGCAGGAGAAAAGTATTCTGATGTTTTAGAACAAGTTGAATTTCATAATACAGTTTGGACTCACGATAATTTGGGGGTTTTCTACAATCATTCATTGCAACAGAATTCAGCTGAATCAATTGAGGATGATATGAAAATTTACTATCATAAAATTGGTACACCTCAATCCGAAGATATTGTTGTTATCGAATTTCCTGAAGAGCCATCCACAGAAATGTGTGTAAATGCGTTTACTATTTTTTTTCTTGCCCTTTGGTACTATTTAGAGACTTTTTTTTTAAATTTTAAATCAAGTTTTTGCTTCTAAACATTATCTTTTTTTATGATTTAACATCTCTTGGATTTTTTTTATAGCGATAAGGGAAAAATTTTCTGGAAATCAGGGAGAAACAATCAAATTTTTATCCTCTTTAAATGATTGCGAAGCCTGAGATATTGAAAAATAATTTCTATTTTATTTGTTACGAATCGATCCAGATAGAAATTTGATTAAAATAATTTATTAAAATCTACAGATATACCGATATTTCCGACTGCGGTCAATGGTTGTTCGTTTCAACAATAAATTCTGCTAGAAAGAATTTGCTGTATTTTACCGAACTGAAAGAGAATATAAATGGAAAATTCAATTTGACACAAATTGTCGATGCAATGGCTTCACACTTCACGGTTAGTATATGTTGGGATTTAATTGAAAAATGAAATTGAATAATTCTTCATTTTTTTTTTAAATTTAAAGAAAAATTATATTTTTTTTAAAAAATGAAGAATTTTCATTGAAATTTCAATCTTTTAAACTAACAATGGCGACGAATAATATTTTTATTTATTTTCAGTACGTTGGAAACGATAATACGAAGGCAATTTTCATAACCGATAAGAATTCTCCGAATAAAAAAATAATAGCAATCGATTTATTGAACTACGAAGAAGTGAATTGGACAACTTTAGTATCCGAGGAACCGGATAAAATTCTCAAAAAGGTGACAGTTGTCGATAATGATAAATTTGTCGTTCAATATCTTTGTGGCAGAGATTATATTTTACAACTGCACAGCTTAAAAAATGGAAAACTGATAAAAAAATTAGACCTCGGTATTGGATCAATTTCCGGTGGGATCCATGGACATAGAAATTATCCCGAATACATATTTTGTTTCACCTCATTCTTAATTCCAAGAGTAATCTACAAAATAGATGTTAATTCATTTGATAAACTTGAAATTCATCGTGAATCAAAATTAGAAAATTACAATCCAAGTCTTTATAAAACACTTCGTGTTTATTATCCGAATAAGGATAATAAAAAAATTCCAATGACAATAGCAATGAGAAAAAATGCGAAACTCAATAGTTCAATGCCAGCGCTTCTTTCCATAAATAGAGGATATGGTATTTTAACCACACCGCATTTTAGTGTCGAGAATATAATTTTTATACAGCATTTTAATGGAATTATAGCCGAACCACAAATTCGTGGCGATTCGGAATATCACGAGAAATGGTACAATGACGGTATCCTCGAGGATAAACTAAATGTAATCGATGATTTTCAATCGGCCGCCGAATATCTCATTAAAAATGGATATACATCGAGGGAAAAATTGACAATTAAAGGAAACTTTTATGGAAGTTGTATAATTGGCACTTGTCTCAATGAGAGGCCGGATTTATTTGGTGCCGCTGTTATTTTTAATGGACTATTTGATATTTTATATTTTGATAAATACACTGTTTGTCGTAATTGTGAGGATCGAAAGACTTTTGAAAATATGTTGAAATATTCATCGATTCATAATGTTAAATTGCCGATTAATAATGAACAATATCCGGCAATATTGCTTTTATCTGATATTGACAATGAATTGATAGACTCTTTGCATTCATTTAAATTCATTGCAACATTACAACATGAAATTGGCAAATTGAAACAACAAAAGAATCCATTAATGATGAAAATTGATTTTAATTCTTATTATGATTCGCCATCGGCAGACATTGAACAATTGGCTAATTTTCTCACATTTCTTGTTAAATCGTTAAAATTGAAAATTCACTTTCACAATAAAATCGAGGAAAAAAAGCAAAAGAAACCAAAGAAAAAGAGAAAGAAACGAGTCTTTTTTTAAAAAAATCAAAAAAAAATTTCAATTTTCCACAGATAAGAGAAATCTATTTTTGTAAATTGTTCTGATTAAAATTTTTGACTGTAAAATTTTTATATTCTTAATTTAACATTTTTAAAACGTAAAAAAGTTACGAAATTATTGTTGAAAGACAAATTTTTATTAATGAAAAATGCGATTAATGTTATTTATTTTATAAGAAAAAAAATTGTATTTTGTTGTCTTGTTCGATGTATAACATGGAAGAATTAATTCTTAAAAATTTCATTACACTTTTGTTGTAATTAGTTTAAATTTTTTCTAAATCAAATTTAGAGAATAAATTTTGTACTATTTTTTCTAAAAAAAAAATTGAATTTATTTTATTTTCCACAATTTTGTGTGAGTGAATTTGTTTTTTAATTTCAAAAGATAAGATTTTTGTTAAGAGAATGTTATAATTTTTGAAACGTTTATAAATTTGGAATCTGAAATAATTTAATTCTTGAGGAGAATTTAAAAAAAAAGTTTAATAATTGAATTCTTTCAAAGAATATACAATTATTTTTAATTATTAAATACTTTCGACAAATTCTATTTATATTTTTGAAAATAATAATTGAATTATTTCGAAGAATTTTATTGAAATTTCTAAAAATAACTGAAATCTTTCGTGAATTTTTATTAAAATTGATTTAAAAATAAAGGAATTCCTGCGAAGAATTTTATTAAAATTTGTTAAAATAAATAAATTAATTAAATTCTTTCCAGGAATTTTATTAAAATTACATTAAATGATTGAATTCTTTCCTGAAATAATAACATTTGCGAAAACAATTGAATTTTTATAATTTATTGTTAAAAATTTATATGAAAAAAAAACATAAAATTAATTTTTATTGAAATCGTAAATAATTGAATTTTGTGGAAGAATTTTATTAAATTTTTTGATAATAATAAATATTAATTAATTAATTTTGTAATAAGTGAATTGTTATTAAATGATTTATTTATATTAAAAAATATTTAAAAAAAGAAAATTTGTCCAGGAAAATATTTTGAATTAATCAAAAGTACAGTTCAGCTAATATAGATGACTCTGATTAATAATCAAATTACAATGACATTTGAGGTTCTCTATTGTAGTAATTATTCTATGACTAAAGAAAAGAGATTTTTTTCAAAACTATTGTTGATGTAAGTAATTTTTTTTTATTTTCTTGTTCTATTATTATTCAGAATAATAACAATTTTTTTTATATAAAAGAATAATTGTAATTTTATGATTATATTTATAAACAAATATTTTTCTAAAATAATGACATTTTTACTTTGAACAGAAAGAAGCAGAAGAATTATTTTTCATTGTCAAAATGCAAAGGGCATGGCAAGTGCAAGTAAAAAATATATTTCCTAAATTAAAATATAATCTAATTAACGATAAACATAGAAGATTAAAAAATGCTGAAGGACCTGCCGGTAGAATACGGAGCATTCAAAAAATACTAACAGCATTGTTTAAATATGAACGAATTGAACTTAATTACAATAAGGCCGATGAGACGAGAGGTTATGTTGAACTTGTAAGTATTTTTCAGTTTTGTTTACATTTCCCTTTTTTGATAATTATCACTTATATTTTAATATAATTAACATAGAAATAATAATTATGATGATGATTATTATTATTACGCTCGAAAGATGAAATTCAATTTATTATTTTGCAAATTACCTAAAATTTTTAATTTCAAATATAAACTTCAATTTTTCAATACTTCTAGACTTAAAATTTAAAAATTCAATTGTTAACTAATTTACTTACTAATTACTATAGTTTATTATTTTTAAAAAATTTCAGAAGAATTCTTTTTTTAAGAAATTATAAAACAAAATTAAATTTTTGTGGCAACTCTGAATTATTTTCATAATTTTTTTGTTAAAATTCTTTGCAAGAATTCATTGATTTTCAATACATACATATTTTTTAAATTAGAATATAAAATAAATAAATCTCTTTATTTATTTAATATTTTGTTTAAAAAAAAAATTGCAATTTAAAAAAACTAAATAATTTGTTGTTTTTTCGTCTATTTTTAATAGTTAATCGACAAAGCACGAAGAAATGGACCAACCGATCCAGAAACAATGGAATATGCCAATTTTTACATTCTCGAGAAGCAATTAGTTCATAAACTTTTTAAAGTTCTTGTTCCAAGATACGAAAATTACAACGAATCTGTGACGAGATTATACTTGGCACCAAATCCATGTCCAGGACATTATTTCAAAAGATCAGTTCTCGAACTCAAAGGTAAAATTTTCATTTCAAAATTAAATTATTTGTTAATTCAAGTAATTTTTTTTTCAATTTTATATATTTAACGTGAAAAATGTTAATTATATGAAATTAAAAGAAAAAAAACCGAAAATTTATTTTCGTTTCTATTTTTTTTATCTCTTTTCTTTCTTATAGGAAACATTTATCCGAGTTTAAACATTGAGAATCCAAATGAAGATAATATGATACACAATGTTTTACTTAATGCGGCAAAAAGTGATTATCATCGTCAAAAGCAAAAAGAGATGACGAACAATATGAAAAAAGATTATGAGAATAATACTAGTCGCAGTGATGATGTTAGTTAAGACTTTTAAATTCATTTTTACGTTAAAAAATTAAAAAATATTTTAAAAAACCAAAAAAAAAAGAGAAAGAAATAAAGAAATCGGAAAATTAGAAAAAAATAAAGTTTATTTCAAGATACAAATGCATTTCAAGTTTCAACAGTGAAAAGTTATGGATAAATAAACTTTTAAATTGTTTAAAAAAAATGAGAATGAAAGTAGTATCTATTTCATTTCTTTAAATGATCCTAGTGGATAATGTTGTCCATATTCTTTGAGATGACTCTCGAGAGATTCCATTTGCTCCCTGAAAAAAGAGGTAAAAATATTAATTAAAGTTCATTTTTAAAAAAATTTCTTCAAGGAATTCAATTATTTTTGTAAATTTAATAAAATTCTTTACAGGAAAATTTAAATGCCAATTCAAAAATTAATTGAAATTGTATTTAAAGTATTAATTATACTATTTCAATAAAATTTATTTTAAAGAATTCAATTATTTTTGCAAATTTTAATAAAATTCTTCACAGGAATTCAATTATTTTTAATGGAATTTTAATATAATTTTAGAATTCAATTATATTTAAAAATTTTATTAATAAACTTCTAAAGAATTCAATTATTCCGAAAAATAATTGATATTTTATAAAAAGAATTCAATTAATATTTTATATAATTTTTTATTGAATGTCTGATATTAATTCAATTATTTTAAATAATTTTATTTAAATTTTTCATTGAAATTCAATTATTTTCAAAAATTATAATAAAATTCTTCGAAAGATTTTAATTATTTAGAAAAATTTTAACAAAACTACTCTAAAGAATTCAATTATATTAATGAAAAATAAAATGTAATAAAATTCCGAGAAGAATATTTGTTTTATCATTTTTTTTTCAAAAATTCTTATTAATTATTACTTGATATGAGAAGGCATTTCGTGATAAACATCGGTGAATAATTCCTTCCACGATGGTTTTGGTTTCTTTTCAGCTTCAGTGAAAACTGAAAGTGTCTCCTCTCGTTTTGATTTTATTAAATTCGCCTCTTCCGCTTCATTCCAAATTCCTAAATTCTCCAAATAATGCCGAAATTTGATTGTTGGCGCAAATTCATTCCATTTGGCAATTTCATCGACAGATCTGTACGCTGTACTATCGTCCGAAGTACTATGATGACCTATTCTATATTATTGTATAAAAATTAGTTTCATCTTTTTAAGAATACTTTTTTTTTCAATTAGACAAATTCTTTTCTATTCAATTTTCCTTTTTTTGTTTCTATAATTACCTGTACGTCATGGCTTCAATTAAAACGGGTTTCGATTCATTGATGCAAAATTCACGGGCGTATTGCGTTGCCCGATGAACGGCCAAAACATCATTTCCATCGACTCGTAGAGTGTTAATTCCATAGGCGGGACCTTTAGCTGCAATTCCGTCTCCCTTATATTGCTCCGATGTTGGCGTGGAAATCGCGTATCCATTATTACGACTGAAATGTTTTTTTTTTAAAATTAATTTATCTTAAAAATGAATATTAAATTAATCATAAAATCATAAAATTTAGAAAAAAAGGAATTTTTTTCTTTCTGAAAACAAAAATATTCTCGAAAGTGAAAAATGAATTTTCTACTTTTTGATAACGGAAAAAAAAAATAATTGACTCACCAGAAAAATATAATAGGACAGTCGAGAGTGGCTGCAAAATTTAAGGCCGCATGAGCGTCTCCCTCGCTCGCTGCTCCATCGCCAAAATAACAAATTACACACGCTTCTCCTTTTGATCTTTTCAAAGCGTACGCGGCACCAACGGCTATTTTAATTTGTGAAAAATTTTAATTTACAGTATTAAAATTAAAATTTTGCAATTTAACATTTTTGCCATTGAAATTCACAAAAATATTAATTTAACATTATCTTTGAATATTTAAAAAAAAGAACGTCGTCATATTAAAAAAGAAAATGGTTCTTTTTAAATATATTTCAACATTTTCCAAAAATTCGAAAAAATTTCTTTAAACAAAAAAGAGAACAATTTGAAAATTACTTTTACAAGGTTGCCATAAAAATTTAATTATAATTTTTTCCTGATTTCCAGACAAAATTTTTACTTTTCCCTGAATTCCCTTGAAATTCTGTTTTAATTTCTTTTTTGCTAGGAAAATATAAATAAAATATATAAATTTTTACCCTGTGGAAGTTGTGTTGTCAGTGGAGATGAAATTGTCACGAAATTCAATTCCTTCGAGCCATAATGAACTGGCATTTGTTTTCCTTTTCCCTTATCGAGATAATTTCCATAGCATTGATTTATAAATTCGGAAATTTTAAAACCTCTATAAAGTAAAACTCCTGAAAAGAAATTTTTTTTTAAATTTATTCCTTTATTTTCTTCCAATTATATCAATTATTAGAGAAGAAAAATTAAAAATTATATCTATTTTTTATTTTCTAAAGAGAAAATTGAAAAAATATATTTTTTCCTGTCTCTCTCAACAAAGTAGAAAATAAAAGTATTTATTTTCACTTAAAAAAAAGTATTTGTTTATTAACCAAAATAAAAAATATTAATAAAATTAATTATTAAAATATTAAAATTGTTTAACAATTTTAAAAATTAGAGTTTAAAATATATTTGTGAACTTTTTGTTCGAATTTTTTTAAAATTTAGATCCTATAATTATTTTACATTGTTTTTATTTTATTTTATGAAATTAAAATTTAAAAGAATTCAAATTTTTCCCCAGATTCTTTGAAATTTAACGAAAGCAAAAAAATAAAAATGAAAGAAATATAATAAAATGAGAGAAAAAAAATAAAATTTTGTCTCGAGCTCAATTTTCTCTTTAAATTAATTTCAAACGATTGTAAAGTAATTTAAATTCCATTGACTCTCACCAGCTTCTCTGTATTGTGCGTAAACAACATCCCGTAATGTTAATGCAGCAGCCGATCCAGTTTGTACAGCTTCTTCACCGGAATTCGTCATATAAAACGAAATTCTTCCCTGTCGCTGTGATTCGTAAAGAATTTTGTCCATTATTCCAATTGTCACCATATTAAAATACATTTTCCTCAACGTTTCATTGTCCAACTGCAAAAGAAATTAAATGTAATTAAAAACAATAGTAAGTAATTAATAATAAATTATTTTATTTTTATGAATGAAATTTAAAAAAAGATTTTTAGCTAATTTTTTTTATAGATTATTTTTTTATTTTCTGGATGGATTTTTAAAATAACTTAAAATCAAATTAGTTTAATTAATAAATAAATAATAAGTAAATTTAATTAGCTAGGATAAATAAAATTAAATATTATAAATATAGATTTTAGAACGAAAAAAAAAAATTAAAATACTTACTCCAACTAAAATAAATTACTATAATTAATTAAAATACATAAATAGAATTAAAATTAATTCTACGAATAAATTTAGAAAAAAAAGTCTTAATTTCTCACCAAATGATTTTCATCCTTCGTTTGTCCAGGTGGTTGTAAAATTCTATAAATTGGAATTGGTTCGTAACTTTGGTCATTTGTGAATTTTAATTCATTTGTAAATTTACTCTGAATTCCTAAAAATTGTGGCTCTGTTGACACTGTGCTCAGCTGTTTTATCTATTGAGACAAAAATTTATTATCAAACAAAAACAAAGCGCACATATTATATTGATTTCAATATTGATCATAATAAAGAATTAAAAGTAGAAACAAAATATAAGTTAAAAATTAAAATAAAACAATTTTTTTTGCTTGACTTACATGACGAGGAAGAAGGGAAAATTGAATTCTCTTTAATATCAATTTAGAAGCCATTTTTCCATATGAAATTAACTTTTCTCTCTCACAACAACTTTCTTATCGCTTCCAAATGGAACTGAACTATCGCCTCGTGACGTATCGGCATACATTATTATATTCAACGAGATTCATGAATAAAATTAAATTATATATAAATATTATAATTTCAAGCTAATTAAAATTTAAACGATCGCATTTTTTTTGTTAAAAATTATATACTTTAGACGATTTTTATTTCAATTATTATAATTAATTAATGATAATAATTAATAATTTTAATAATAATCATAATTTTATAATTCAATAATATTAATATTGATTTATTATTAATTAATTAATATTTTTTATAATAATTTTAATTATAATTAATTTTAATAATTTTACATCATTGGAATAATTTATTATAAATATTATTTAATTTAAAGTTATAAAGTAATTGTAGTTTAGATAATAGTTTTAAAATTTTATTTTTGAATGAATTACAAAAAATAAAATTTTTTAATTTAGTTTACTATTTTCTATGAATTTATTCTGTAATTTAATGAAATTCATGTAAATAAAATTAATAATATTCATAATTTTTTCTAATTTTTTAAGAATAAATTACTTTTAGAGGTTATGTTACATTTCGGCTATTAAAAAAATCAGTTATTAAATTCTAAACCGTAATAAACCGTTTTTTGCTTTTTATTTTACATTTGAAAACTAAGTTCCCTTTTAATTTAAAAACTTAATTCTAAATATAAAAACTAATTCCGCAAAATTTTCTGTTTTCAAAATATAAATTTTAGTTGAATCTACATGTAACAATAGTAAAATTTTGTTTCAAAAACAAAAAATACGTAAAATTTTGTAAAATACTGACAAATTCAAAAAACCGTGAACCCGGCTTAATATTTATGCTCTTTTCATATTGAGATACTTTCCCACCCCTGCGCTAACATAACCCTACAAAGTTGTCAACACTGACTGCCTTCCAATGAGAATTGACCACATAGTTCACATATATTTATAAACACATACTCGCGTCTTTCTCTTTAATATACACAAAATATAGTTGTATTCATTGATAACATTTCACTAATACATGATAATAAATTTATTATCGGCATTTCCAGTTTACAGCTGACGTTCTGTTTGTTTGTATTGTATATAGATTTTATATACAAAATTTGAATGCGGATGTCACGATTGTCAGCGTGTGATGATGCCACTTTGAGGTTACGTTTCGTAATAATGTTATTGAATCATTTCTATAATAAAGTTTATTTATTTAATACTAAAACTTCAAGACTTATGACAGTGACAATAGTGCAAAATGATGTTCCTGTCCTATATAAAAGAATGTCATTTAAATTGTCTCAAATATTTCATTGTAAATAATAAAATTAATCGTCATCGTACAAAACAAAAGTTCGATATGGTTCCAAATAAAATACTTGTTCTTTTCGTTTTTTTCTCCGGTATTGTTGCAGCATTTATTGGAACACTTTTGCATCGTTATTTTTGCGAAATATACGATTTTACAGGTACGTTAAAAAAATTTTTAATATTCTAATCTAATAATTATTGATTTAGTGTGAAATATTTTTGAGGAGATGGAAAAATGTCATTGATTTTGGATTTTTAATTTTTAAAAAAATGAAGTGTAAACAATTTGCAGATTTTGTTGTATTTAAAAAATATCGCAATTAAAGCCGACTTAACTTTAAATTAACTTAAACTTTTTCTTTGTAGGCGGTGTAAATAAGGTATTTTCCCCATTACCATCAGAGAATTATCTCAATACCTATGACGAGACAGTAATTGAAATAAAAAGTCCATCGGATCTTAAAGAAAAATGGGATACTCACAACAGTATTGCGTCCGTATCGGAAGCTCTTACATCATTGCATTTAGCCCTTGAAATGAAGCACACGGGCAAAAAGAAAAAAGCAGTAAAATTATTTCAACATGCAGTAGCACTTGCTCCGGAACATCCGGATATTTTGAATCGTTATGGGGAATTTTTGGAGTATACACAAAATGATATTGTCAAAGCGAATGAATATTATGTTCGTGCTTTAACCTATCAGCCAAATCACGAAAGTGCCTTATTAAATCGCGAAAGAACAGCGAGAGTTGTCGAGGAACTCGATCGTATTATGTTAAGAAGAATTGATGAGAAAAGAAATTCATTATCGGCAATTCCCGATAATGATGCGGCACTGATTAGAGCAAAAAAAGAGGCTTACTTTCAACATATATATCACACGGTGGGAATTGAGGGAAATACTATGAATTTGGCTCAAACGAGGGCTATTGTTGAAACTAGAACTGCAGTAGCTGGCAAAAGTATTGATGAACACAATGAAATTCTTGGTCTTGACGCTGCCATGAAATATATTAATGCCACGCTTGTCAATAGGTAAAATATAATTTTATATATTTCATATCTAAATGAGATTATTTTATAAAAACAATTATTTAATTAATTTGAAAATTACTGAAAATATTTAAACCATTAACAAACTTTTTTAATAAGTACTATATAGAATTGAACAAAGCAAAATCGTCTAAGGCGGTGTTTAAACACCCTAATAATCATTCTTTTTAATCATTAGTTCTTTACTTTTTAATAAAATTATTTATAACATTTATTACTCACTATAATTTTTTTCAATAATAATTAGAGGTTTAAAAAATCTAGACCCTATTTTTTAAGGTTCTGTAAAAGTTATAAGTTATTTCTTAATTACTTTATTATTAATAAATCAGATCAAATGCTCCAGACTGGAATGCGTATAATACAGCTTGCTGCTACTCTGAAAGTGATCGAACTTTTCAAATGTGAGCATTTCTATGCAAAAAATCAGCACACGTTAAAATTCTCCTGTCGTAAAATTACATTCAATTTGTAATTCAGGAAATAAATAATTTTGTTCTAAATCATTTTATTTAAAAATTCTAATATTAATTATAAATAAATTATAAAATTAATAATTTCTAGTTCAATTAATAATAAAAAAGTTAAATATTACGACAAAGAATACGTGCACGATTATTGTATTAAGTGTTCTATAAAAATAAAAACGCCTAAAAGGTTTCAAAAATATTGAAAAAATTTTAATTTTTATCAATATGAAATTTATATTATATTATTTTAAATGGTCGCTTATAATTCTTTAGATACACTGAATAATATATATATTTGTCGTCTCACAAATTTTCATTATCAACATTGATATGTTAAGTGCATTGCACTTACAATTTAATTGTCATGACACAACACTTTAAATTATCACCTATTTCTTCTTTTTTTTGAAATTCTTTTTATTATAATTTTACCTTTAATGCAAATTTCTTTTAATTATACTTAAGTTTATACCAAATTATATAATGTTGTATTACGTTCTGTAAGTTTCACATTTACTGTTTTTTTAATATCACAAAATTGAATTTTTTAATGTTGTACAGGCATTTTAATATTTTTTAAAAAGAGGTCTAAAGTTTTTAATAGAAGAATTGGAATTTTAGGGTGGGATCAATATCGATAAAAGATATTTTGGAAATTCATAGAAGAGTTCTGGGTCATGTAGACCCAATTGAAGGAGGCCAATTTAGAAGAACTCAAGTCTATGTTGGTGGACATATTCCGCCTAGACCAGGGGATATTCATTATTTAATGGAAGAATTCGCATCCTGGTTAAATAGCGAGCGTGCCATTAGATTACATCCCGTAAGGTAAGATATAAAACTATTATACATTTTTAAATTTTTTTTAAATATCAGTAACCTACATTTTTGAACCTTCAATTGGCGTAAAGTTTAAACCATAAATTAAATTTTTTACTGATTTTTAGGTACGCAGCATTGGCACACTACAAATTAGTTCATATTCATCCGTTCTCGGATGGTAACGGAAGAACCTCTCGTCTTCTAATGAATATGATTTTAATGCAAGCCGGCTATCCACCAGTGATAATACACAAGCGTCATAGACATGAATATTATGAAAATTTACAAGTAGCGAATGGTGGTGATGTGAGGCCATTTGTAAGATTTATAGCCGAGTGTACTGAACAAACACTTGATTTATTCCTCTGGGCAACTAGTGAATTTTCCAAACAAGTTCCAGCTTTAAGTCAGGACAGTGTATCAATAGATAAACAAAATACAATTATTCTTGATGGTGATGACAAAAGTGATGACTTTGATAACGATTGAAATATGTGCATTTTAGGACATTAATAATTTTAAATGAAACTTTAAAAAATACGTTCTCATGTGATAAGAACGTAAAATTACTGATAGTTAGGTTTTAAAAAAAGTGAAAACAGATTGTTTCACGGAATACCAAAGCATTTAAGGTACGGTACTTATTTCACCAAATTATAATTGAGCATTAGAATTTTATAGTTCCTCAGTTCTTTTACTTTATTAAAACAAACCAATGAAAGTTCAATGATTTATAATATTTAATGTAGTATATTAGAAATAATTTACGAAGAATTTTTAAATATTCAAAAAATGTTTGTATATAGCTTATGATAATTTCTATAAAATTAGTGTTAAAAATTGCACAAAATTTTGTAGGTCATAAAGCACAAGAAATTCTTTGAGAATGTGTCATAAGCACTTATTATCATATACTTAACAATTATTTATGTTGAGATATTTGTAAGTAGAAAATTATTGACTTGACTATAGGTCATTTTTTAAGTTAAAACCAATTTTGTATAAAATTGGTAGAAAATTAAGTGTTGTATTTTAAATAAAATTTAGATATTTCTAAAATGACTCAAAAATCTCTGTCGAGATTTTAAGCAATGTTCATATTTAAATGTAAATTTGTGACATGAATTCACTGCTTAAGACAATTAAAATTTTACATTGACTTATATTTAAGTGCATGTTAAATTAAAGTCATATTAATTAAAATTCTAATTACAACTTTAACATTTGAAACAGTTCAAAGTTTCAATAAAATTAGCAATATTTCGTGAAAAAGTTAAAAAATAAATTTGTTTCTATTAATAAGAAAATCAAGATAAAATTAATTACTAAAAATTAGTTAAAAAAATGTATTACATAGAAACTATTAATGTCTTAAGCAATGATATCGCATGAATTTTATACTTTTAATTTCAAGAACACTTCCGATCCTCAAATATTATTTCAGGTATACATACTCTTTAGCGTTATTAATTAATTTTCAGTTATATCAAACTTATTTGATAATTTAAAATATCTCTTACCTTTACGGTATGTAGTAAAGAGTTCATAACCCTGCCCCTTCAACTAAAGACTGTGATTATAAAAGTTAGTTAGTTACTTGAATTTAGATAAAAATGTTTTTAGCAGGTAGAACAAGCACAAAGTTTTTACTCTGTTAATGTAATAATTAATTTGTATCTGTAATAATTGCTGTAGTAGACAAACAAAAACTTGCTGGACGAGTTTTCCTCTTTTTAATTATATATGTTGTATTTATTTCATTAGAAAATAATAAATAAAATATAAATGACTATTAAAATGACCAATTTTTTCCTTTAAAACTAAATACTTGTAATAATAACTAATACTTGTAATGTTTACATACGGCGAAAATAAAATTTTAACAATAAAATATTCTATCCTTACTAAATGTTGTTCAGCAACAATCTAGCTTGATACGCAGTACATTAAAAAACAAAATTAATAAGAATTTAATTCAAACGCCATATTATGCTAATTTTGATTGACTGATAGCCTCCCAGTAAAAAAAGTATTGATTCTTAAAAATCTTTAACAGACAAAGTTCCAGAAATTATTTTAAAATAAACAAACATTATTTACTGTTTCTAAACTATGGCAAAAACAAAACTAATTATAAACGTCTGGGTCATCGAAATGAATTCAATTCACAATTAATAAATGTAGCCACAGCCGATAATCAGTAGGAGATGAACAATTATATTTTGAGCAATCTTTAGTATCTATTTACTAACAATTGTTTGTCAAAAAATTTTTTAAAGGTGCTCAACTATTGCTAAAACAATTCCAATAATTATCTGAGTCATCGAAATTAATTTAATTTAAAATTCATAAAAAGTGTCCACAGACGATAATCAGCAGAAGATGGAAAATTATATTTTGAGCGATTGTTTTTAAAATCTATCATTCTACCAATTTATAAATAGTTTAAACAAATAAAGACTGTAGTATATAATTAGTAAGATATATTATATGACAACATAAAATATTTACAGTGAAATTATATATACTAATATTTTTAAAAATTTTTCTTCGATTGTAATTGTAATTATAATTGTCAAATTTATTAAAATTGTTAAATAAAATTGTAAAATTATAATTTTTAATTAAAATTATAATTGTTAATTAAAATTATAATTGTTAATTAAAATTATAATTGTTAATTCCAATTGTAAAATTATATTTGTAAAATATTCAAATCACAATCTGCATTCTAAACATTTAAGATTTGAAAATTGTTTATTATACTGTATTTCGTATTTAAAATTCATTTATTAAAAAAACGAAAATTTTTACAATTAATGCCTTACAAAAATCACGTAAAAATAAAGAAATTTTATTTACTATCTTCTGATTTTTATGGTGTGAATACTCCAAAAAGAGATAAAGGCTTTTCAAATAGTGTAAAATTACTTCAAAAAACATCATTCACCCATGACTATAAATGGAAATGGAGTCATAATTTTGTTTCATGAAACAAAAAATGTAGTTAAATGCAATAGCTTTTAAACAATAAAAATTCAATTAAAAAATTTAATTGCGTTAAGAACCATTTATTATGTTGATTCAAACCCAACATTCTGTTGTTTCAAAAAACTTTATTGTAGAGTGTTGTTTTCGCAGAATATATGATGATTTAGAAATATCAAATCTAAAACTAAATTAGATTTAAAGATATGAAAATAAAAATATTTTGATAAATGAAATGACGGGTTTTAAATTTCTTAAAGATCTGAGCATCGCAAAAGTCGAAAATTCGATTGTCTGCTAATTGGCGGATGGAGTATTTTTAGTAGTAATTTTGACAAAATTATTTCAAAAATGAAAATTCTTGTAAATAATCATCTAATGAACAATAGGCAACAACAAAACCAATTGTTTATTAACAAATAAATTTTAAAAGCCCTTAGCTTCGCAAAACTCGAAAATTCGATTGTCTGCTAATTAGCGGATGGAGTATTTTGACTAGTAATTTTGCCAAAATTATTTATAAATTAAAAATTCTTGTAAATAATCATCTAATGAACAATAGGCAACAACAAAACCAATTGTTTATTAACAAATAAATTTTTTAAAGCCCTTAGCATCGCAAAACTCGAAAATTCGATTGTCTGCTAATTGGCGGATGGAGTATTTTGACTAGTAATTTTGCCAAAATTATTTATAAATTAAAAATTCTTGTAAATAATCATCTAATGAACAATAGGCAACAACAAAACCAATTGTTTATTAACAAATAAATTTTAAAAGCCCTTAGCTTCGCAAAACTCGAAAATTCGATTGTCTGCTAATTGGCGGATGGAGTATTTTGACTAGTAATTTTGCCAAAATTATTTAAAAATTAAAAATTCTTGTAAATAATCATCTAATGAACAATAGGCAACAACAAAACCAATTGTTTATTAACAAATAAATTTTAAAAGCCCTAAGCTTCGCAAAACTCGAAAATTCGATTGTCTGCTAATTGGCGGATGGAGTATTTTGACTAGTAATTTTGCCAAAATTATTTATAAATTAAAAATTCTTGTAAATAATCATCTAATGAACAATAGGCAACAACAAAACCAATTGTTTATTAACAAATAAATTTTAAAAGCCCTTAGATTCGCAATACTCGAAAATTCGATTGTCTGCTAATTGGCGGATGGAGTATTTTTAGTAGTAATTTTGACAAAATTATTTCAAAAATGAAAATTCTTGTAAATAATCATCAAATGAACAATAGGCAACAACAAAACCAATTGTTTATTAACAAATAAATTTTAAAAGCCCTTAGCTTCGCAAAACTCGAAAATTCGATTGTCTGCTAATTGGCGGATGGAGTATTTTGACTAGTAATTTTGCCAAAATTATTTATAAATTAAAAATTCTTGTAAATAATCATCTAATGAACAATAGGCAACAACAAAACCAATTGTTTATTAACAAATAAATTTTAAAAGCCCTTAGTATCGCAAAACTCGAAAATTCGATTGTCTGCTAATTGGCGGATGGAGTATTTTTAGTAGTAATTTTGACAAAATTATTTCAAAAATGAAAATTCTTGTAAATAATCATCTAATGAACAATAGGCAACAACAAAACCAATTGTTTATTAACAAATAAATTTTAAAAGCCCTTAGTATCGCAAAACTCGAAAATTCGATTGTCTGCTAATTGGCGGATGGAGTATTTTTAGTAGTAATTTTGACAAAATTATTTCAAAAATGAAAATTCTTGTAAATAATCATCTAATGAACAATAGGCAACAACAAAACCAATTGTTTATTAACAAATAAATTTTAAAAGCCCTTAGATTCGCAATACTCGAAAATTCGATTGTCTGCTAATTGGCGGATGGAGTATTTTTAGTAGTAATTTTGACAAAATTATTTCAAAAATGAAAATTCTTGTAAATAATCATCAAATGAACAATAGGCAACAACAAAACCAATTGTTTATTAACAAATAAATTTTAAAAGCCCTTAGCTTCGCAAAACTCGAAAATTCGATTGTCTGCTAATTGGCGGATGGAGTATTTTGACTAGTAATTTTGCCAAAATTATTTATAAATTAAAAATTCTTGTAAATAATCATCTAATGAACAATAGGCAACAACAAAACCAATTGTTTATTAACAAATAAATTTTAAAAGCCCTTAGTATCGCAAAACTCGAAAATTCGATTGTCTGCTAATTGGCGGATGGAGTATTTTAAATAGTAATTTTGCCAAAATTATTTATAAATTAAAAATTCTTGTAAATAATCATCTAATGAACAATAGGCAACAACAAAACCAATTGTTTATTAACAAATAAATTTTTTAAAGCCCTTAGCATCGCAAAACTCGAAAATTCGATTGTCTGCTAATTGGCGGATGGAGTATTCTGACTAGTAATTTTGCCAAAATTATTTACCTAAAAAAAATTCTTGTAAATAATCATCTAATGAACAATAGGCAACAACAAAACCAATTGTTTATTAACAAATAAATTTTAAAAGCCCTTAGCTTCGCAAAACTCGAAAATTCGATTGTCTGCTAATTGGCGGATGGAGTATTTTTAGTAGTAATTTTGACAAAATTATTTCAAAAATGAAAATTCTTGTAAATAATCATCTAATGAACAATAGGCAACAACAAAACCAATTGTTTATTAACAAATAAATTTTAAAAGCCCTTAGCTTCGCAAAACTCGAAAATTCGATTGTCTGCTAATTGGCGGATGGAGTATTCTGACTAGTAATTTTGCCAAAATTATTTACCTAAAAAAAATTCTTGTAAATAATCATCTAATGAACAATAGGCAACAACAAAACCAATTGTTTATTAACAAATAAATTTTAAAAGCCCTTAGCTTCGCAAAACACGAAAATTCGATTGTCTGCTAATTGGCGGATGGAGTATTTTGACTAGTAATTTTGCCAAAATTATTTATAAATTAAAAATTCTTGTAAATAATCATCTAATGAACAATAGGCAACAAGAAAACCAATTGTTTATTAACAAATAAATTTTAAAAGCCCTTAGCTTCGCAAAACTCGAAAATTCGATTGTCTGCTAATTGGCGGATGAAGTATTTTTAGTAGTAATTTTGACAAAATTATTTCAAAAATGAAAATTCTTGTAAATAATTATCTAATAAACAATAGGCAACAACAAAACCAATTGTTTATTAACAAATAAATTTTAAAAGCCCTTAGCTTCGCAAAACTCGAAAATTCGATTGTCTGCTAATTGGCGGATGGAGTATTTTGACTAGTAATTTTGACAAAATTATTTCAAAAATGAAAATTCTTGTAAATAATCATCTAATAAACAATAGGCAACAACAAAACCAATTGTTTATTAACAAATAAATTTTTTAAAGCCCTTACCATCGCAAAACTCGAAAATTCGATTGTCTGCTTATTGGCGGATGGAATATTTTGACTAGTAATTTTGCCAAAATTATTTTACTAAAGAAAATTCTTGTAAATAATCATCTAATGAACAATAGGCAACAACAAAACCAATTGTTTATTAACAAATAAATTTTAAAAGCCCTTAGATTATCAAAACTCGAAAATTCGATTGTCTGCTAATTGGCGGATGGAGTATTTTTAGTAGTAATTTTGCCAAAATTATTTTACCAAAGAAAATTCTTGAGAATAATCATCATATGAACAATAGGTAACAACAAAACCAATTGTTTATTAACAAATAAATTTTAAAAGCCCTTAGCTTCGCAAAACTCGAAAATTCGATTGTCTGCTAATTGGCGGATGGAGTATTTTGACTAGTAATTTTGCCAAAATTATTTTACT